AAAAAAAAAAAAAAAATAATAAAAAAATAAAAAACCACACCGCCACCTTTTACTTTGTAGTAATTTAGTTCTTAATCAGATTATTAAAGGAACATTAAATAGTCTTCATTAAAATTAAATATTAAATCTCTTCACTTTCTACACAACTCAAACATCTCAGGGAATCACCCAAACTCCCAAGCAAGTTTAACAGAAGAACATTGCCAATTCCTTGACTCTCTTTGGTAAGGGCAACTTTGTTAATAATATATAAAATATATATATATATAACTGATGCAAAAAGGATTTATCAAATTGATAGTCTGCTTATTTTGTAAAATTAAAATACTCTCTTCAGTATGAAAACTGAATGATAAAAATAAATTATAAAACACTTAAAATTAAAGCACCTAATAGATCAGATAAAGCTAGGGTTTCAGTTTTCCTAAGGAATTCCGCAACCACACACATACAGATTATGCTTATCTATTTATAGGGAATTAATCAGGATTACCACTTTCATCTTGGCAATTTAACTGGAGAATGAAATCAATAGCATCCAATCAGTAAAATATGACTTGTTTCCACAGTGCTGAGACATTTTGTCTATTAAGAACTGTTTTGCCTTTTTTTAAGATCAATAGCCTCAGAGCATTATATTTAACTGTTCGAGGAACAGACACCTATTTCAGCACAATATTCTGAAAGCAGCAGCACCCCTCTGAGCACCTGGGGCAGCATCTCTCCAGCCAGAAGCCAGCACACAGGCTAAGCACACACAGCAGTGCCTCAGGTGCCACTGCCAAATGCTGTTCTAAGCCTGGATTTTTCAGGGGTTGAACACCCAGTTCTTAACATTCATAGGAAAGTAAATAAACTCATTCTGTAACCAGTTGAACACATGAGAAGCTGCAATCTCAGCCCTGCTGCCAGCTGAATTCTAATACTGAAGCTACTGAAATTTCTACAAATTGGTTAAACAGAAGTGAAGTGAAGCGAAGCCTCCCTTTCACTGCCTGAGATCTTGACACCAGGACAAGTCCCTCATGAGAAAGTCGCATTAGTTATTAGCAAGAATTTCAGTTATGCCTCCTCATAGACAATGCAAACTGAAACTTTAAAACTCCGGCATGTTTAGCTACAAACACATCGGTATACATTTTATACACTAAATTATTTCCATGTCAAACTAGCGATGGTACAAAAATTTGCTTTCAAACCCTGTATCGTACTCAGGCTGATGTTGCACAAGTTAAAATGTTTTTATAGCTTGAAAGCAAAGGTTAAGAAACATATCGTATTGCTCTTTGTGTAGTTTTCTTAAACTCCCACTCCATTTCCAAGCTCACTTCTGATCACCCTCCTCTTCTTGGCAACACAGCACACTTGAGTTAGATGCCTACACAGTTATTCAGACTTCTCTGAAAATCTTTGGTTGAAGGTTAATGTATTGTAAATCACAAGGATGTTTTCTCACCAGGAAAAACAAAATACTCATATTTATATAAACAAAAATCTACCATATGTAACTTCCTTACTTAAATTGCACTGATAAGTTAGCAGGAGGTAACTAAGCCAAGTGATTTTTTTTTTTTTTAAAGATGACTATTTTTGTTTGCTGTTTTTCACTGTGATAAATATTAGGTGCAGGTGTGTACACACATCTTACAATCACAGCTGAGGACAAGCGACAACTGATTGCCACAACCCCAGTGAAAGGTGTCTTGATTGACCGACTAGCAGAACAATAGTTCACCCTCACAAGTCATGTGCTCCAGCATCTACAGTCCCTCTCACTGTTACCTATTTATACGCACGTATAAGCAGTGCCGCTGGTCTCTGCGCACCACAGGAGCTATAAGCAATCAAAATGCTTCTACTGATCATACGCAAAACCCAGAATACACATGGCTGGCACGTACCATATTTATATGAAACGGGAATATCAACTGGAGACCTGTGCTTAAGTGACTTGGGATGTAACTGAGACCTGAATATTTCTACTCTATTTTTAACTTCTGATATATTTAGAAATAATCAAGAAGTGCATACAAACCAGAAACAAATCATGACCTTACGTTTCTAAGGAACGCAGATGATCTATGCTCCCATCATCTTTAGCTTTCAATACAGGACCCTCACACCCTGGAAGGAGCACCGTATAGAGCTGCACATATGGTACCAATGATCTATGATCAACATCTTGCTAAAAAGACCTGTTCGGTTCTGGGAGTCACTTGCAGCCCACCAATTTCTAATTGCATTTGACTGAAGACTACCAAAACTGCCCGTTTATCCTTTAGCAACAAAATCCATACTGATTCCAAGGACTTCAAGAATACCACAGAGAAACAGAACAAATTTCCTGCTTCTGAACAATCTAATTTGCAGCCTTAATGCTGTATACAGGTTATCACAGCTTTTCTATTGAAAATTAAAAGTGATACCAACTTCAATTTTGTTCTTAATAATGCTATCCTGTATAGATGAAAGTCTTTACATTAATCTCGAATCAGTTTCAAACAGTTACAAGAGGCAGGATTGAGCTTCATTTGATGCTTGTTCCTTACTACTGATTTTTTTTGGTTTTATTCCTTTAGCTAAGTGAAAAACTGTTCTAATTCTCAAACCAGTAGCTCCTTTTACCTTATTAGCAAAGCAACCAAATAGACGAGGCAAAACACTAATGTTTCCAGATACACAAACAAATGAAGTTATACATTTTTTTTCTTATAATAATTCAGCTACACTCTTTTCTTTTTCAGAGAGCAACGACTGGCTATTTATAGATGGGATCAAATGTCACTCAAACCTACACGGCTACACACAAAGAACATGGGCTTCCAAATCTACAACTTCTGCTCATTCATATCATCTTTATAAACCGCAAAAGGCCAGCTTTTGAGGCTTGGGTTTCTTTTTGGTTGGTTGGTTTGGGGTTTTTTGGCATTAAAAACCTACTGTTCTGGACACTGCAAGCAGGACTTCAGTTGTGACAAGCAGACATACGACACACAGCTAAACCTTCCCCTGAACCTAGAAACTAGGTGTTCCTCTGACTCTCCAGCCCTCTGCACCAACCTAACAAGACTCTTCCGAGCATGCTGAATTGCTCAAGCTTCACACAAAACATGGGACAGAAGACAGCACTATCATCCTTGCATCTAAAACACAAAGGGGAGCACTTTCAAGCATGACTTGGAATATTTGCACCCGACTCCCTCTCCTACCAGCATGGAGGGACTTCTATGTCCCTCACCCACCTGTCAAATAAATAGGAAAGTATGTAGAACATCATCTAAGAAAAAAAGAGTACTAATCAGGCAGAAGATAGCATGAATTAAGATGAGGCTCATCCACGATGCACAAAGTATCTCATCATCATTGAGACAAAGAATCAAGAAAGCCTCTCCCTCCTCAGTTACTCACTGCCTGTAAATAAGTGGTACAAACACCCTCAGGGTCAGTGAAAGCCCAGCTCTTGGTCCATATCAGGGATGAAATGGGACAGTACCTATCGATATGGCATAGAAGCACTCTCCACAAAGGAGAAAGAGGAGAGAGTAGGAGTTCTCCACTCAAGATTTCCACGCCACTGCTAAGCTCCCACTTAGCTTCAATGAAGGTTTTATTTTACACGTTTCAGCACATCGCCCCCTTTGCTGACCTAATTCACATATTTGGCTCCAACAGATAAAACTTCAGCTATCAATTTGATTTCCTCAAACAATAAAGGATTTTTTTTTTTAAGTAGCAAAGAGCAACCAACAGAGCTGTAACTACAGTGAGCTGTCAGAACAGTAAATACCAAAAAAGAATTGTCATGTGATAAGATTTTACACATCACAAAACGTAACTCATCTATTACACATGCTCTTAAGATCTTTGAAACTAAGTATAATATTTTTCAAAAGAAAAAAAAAAAAAAAATCTTTTTCAGACCTGGAATCTGCAAGGCTTGTAGTGTTCAAGAGAATACACAAAAATATTCCCTGTCAAAAGCAGTCAGCATACATGGTTACATCAGTAGTATCTAAGATGAGAACCACCACGGACATTTCTGTCTAATGTGATTTGCAATAGGACAATTACACCATTTAATGTCACTTTAATCACTCTCACTTTTTCAAGTTGCTAAAAACCACTCATTTAACCAGCACTGTTTTCCAAATTCCGCTTGCACAGAGCTTTCTTTTAAAATATCAGGATTCACATCTACAGGAGAGTATTTTTTAAAATCCCAGCATTCAAGACCAGATTTCTTTCAATCTGTCTACTGGTTTGTTGCTGAAGAGGAGGAAAAAAAAAGTTACTTTTCAAAGCCGGTATTTTGCAAAACGAGCAGATAACATTACTGCAAAACTAGGGAGCCTTCTATGGTATTAACGGTCTTTTGCAAGGGCCTTTTTAGAAAGCCTTTTCGTATGCACACCATGCTTCATCTGGATGAGATTACGTTTTTCGCAGCCTATAAAGAAGCAGGATTCAATAATGGATCGTTAAAGGTAACAATGGTAAAAGGTGTGAGAACTACAGCGACTGAAATGCTGCCAGATCGCTCATTTCTGGGCTATTGCGGCAGTTTTCAGGCAAGTTCTCCTCTCTCCACAGGTTGTCTGTCATCTCCTCTCCGGTAAAGAGTCCCTACCGCTTCCACTAACGCCCGCCGAGTCTTCCGAGCTCAGGCAGCAGTGCCCCTACTCGTTCCGCGAGTGCTCCTGCCCACAGACGGCGGGGAGAGCAGGGAACGCAGGTGGATCCGCCGAAGCATTTACGCTGCAGAAAGGGGATTCCAGGTGTCTCTTGTTTGCCTCCCGGCGCCGGCAGGGCCGCCCGCCCGCTTGCGGAGGTGCGCAGTGGCCTCTGCTGGTGCCCGGACCGTCCCGCTCGCACGAGTGGAGCGGGAGCGGAGCCCCGAGGCACCGGCGGCCCCGGCCGCCGCGCTGAGGGCGCCCGCTGCCCCCCGCCGCTCCCTCACAGACACCACCACCCCCCCCCCCCTTGCCGCCCGGCTCCCTTACCTGTGAGGAGGCTCTGGGAGCCGCTCCGAGCGGCGGCGCCGGCCGGGTCGGGCTGCCCGAGGAGAAGGGCGAGCCAGAGGGAACCGAGGAGCCGCCGGGCTCTCCCCGCCGCCATCTCTCCGCTCCCCGCGCCCGGCAGCCGGGCACCCAGCGCCAGCCCCTCCCCCGGGGGGGCTCCTCCTGCCTGCCTGCCTGCTCTGCCGGCCGGGGCGCGCTCCCCGCTCGTCCGCCACCGGGCTGCGCCCCTGCGGCACACCGAGGAGGCGGCCCTCAGCCGGGCGGCGGGGCCGGGGCTGGCGCAGCCGCCCCGGGGAGCGGCCAGCGAGGAGGAGGCGGCGGCGGCGGGAGCGGCCGGGCTCACTCCATCGCGGGCCGGTCCCAGCGCCGGGCTCCGCCGCTGCCTCGCACGGAGCCAGAGGGGCGCTCGCCGCGCGCTCCTCCCCTCACTCCCGCCTCCCCCCCCCCCCCCCCTTCCCGCCCCTCACGCGCGCGCATGCGCTCGAGCGCTCCTCCCCTTCCCCACGCCGCTCCCGGGGAGACGGCGGCGCACGCGCTCGCCACCTCCCCGCGCCAGGTGTGCGCGCGCCCGGCCGCCCGCCACCGCGCCTGCGCGGAATCCCCCCCCCCCCCGCCCGCCGGCCCCCGGCACGAGGCGGGGCCGCCGTCCCCTCAGGGCCGGGGAGCGCCCGACATGGACTCCACGCACACCCACACCCACACCCACACCCGCACCCACCGCCCGGCTCTGCGGGGAGCTCGGCACCGGGCACCCCGGCCCGATCCCGCGGGGGACGGGGCCAAAACCCGCCGGTTCGCTTGTTCCGTCGCTCCCGACCTACCGGCGCTGCGGGCGCCCGCAACGGGAGCGGTGCGCTAAAGTTCCCGTCTTTCCGTGAAATAAACTTTTTTATTTCCCTCCCCACACACACACACACACACCCTCCTCTCGTAGCCAGAGCCCAGCGCGGCTGCAAAGCCCAAGCCGGTTACCCGTGCGGGTTTGGCGAGCCGGAGGAGGAGCTGCCAAGGGGAGTCCTTGCGCTGCTGGGAACCGGCGGGGAGCTGCGGCAACCCTGCCTCCGGAGCTACCGAGAGAAAAAAGTAAAATATATAAAAAAAAAATCGCACTAACCATGTAAAAATAACTTGCAGAAACTTGTTTTCGTGCGGGGGGGTGGGTGGAGTGTGTGAGATCTCTGCTGCTCGGTTTGGGATGTCGACTCTCGTAATTATGTTTCTCAACAAACAAAAGGATAAATAAATGTGAAGAAAAGACCAAACATACTTTGAAAAGGCAAATTAAATGTATTTTCATCCTCCTGGGGGTAATTAGTTTTATACAGCATTTGCCATTCAAATCCAAATCGTTTGAATGCTGCATCGTTACCAGCCAGTTTTAGTCTTACTGTTGGATCCCGCATCCTTGCAAAGGACACAATAAGAGCTATAAATATACATTCCTCCTTCATTAATCATATGAAGTTATATTTTTTTTCCATCTCAGCTTGTTGCCCACTAAATTATATTTTTACAATGTGCACGCTATCCTTGCTCATTGTATTATTGACTAATTGAATCGTCTCTTCCAGTACATAAATTATGTAGTACCAGGGCTCAAGATGTGGTAGCGGTGAGATAACCATACCCGTGGGGCAGTGCATGACGTGAAACACGGGTACGTCCCCCCAAAAGGTGTGTTTCTGTTACAAAATGTTTTAAAACTAGTTTCAAATCATTTGCTCCAGAAAGAAACAGGCTTTTAGACTGGCAGTGACACTCCTGCCAAGGAACCGAGGACTGATTTCAGGACAGTTTACCTTGATAACCTCGGTGCAAGTGGCGAGGGCATCCCTCTTGATGCAGGCACCTCTATATGCCCGTGAAGTTATCCCTGATCCAGCGGGATTTGCAGATTTGTTTATTTAGAGGCTTTTCCGCGAGGCAGACGCTGACACATTTTGCAGCGCACCAAAACGCAGGTGTGCATTCTGCTGTACATACGGATGCAGAGATGTGCATGACTAATTAAAGGTTGACGTGACTACAAAGCATCAGCTAATACAGGTGTCTGAAGTGTTTCTCATTGTGAAACATGCTTCATTATTTTATAATTTTGTTCAGTGTTTCTGTCGGGAAACAGGGGGTTTGTCCTCCACTAAAAATATCCTGGAGCATTTTCACAATGATGAATAATTACCTCCTCAGAAGGATGTTTGGGTTTCTCCATATTATGCTTGCCGAGTTACGCTGATATCTGATATGCCAGAAGGATTACCAGCAACGAACTGTAATTTATACTGAAAATGGAAGCACTGATTAAAAGGCAGGACTGGCAGCATAACTCCTATTAAAGCTGGTTAGCAATTCCCATCATAAAATACTACCTTCAGTCACTTTTAATAGTGCCAGACTAACCACTGCGCTGAAATTTAAGCGTCGTAAGTTCATACCTCACGTTAAATCATAAACAGGTCTTCTTTCATCCCGTCTGTCAGGGATCTTCGAGCCTGGAAACAAAAATGGTCACTTTGTCAGAGGTGCTCCCTCACAACCTGCCATGAAAAACCCTTCCGAAAATCCCGCTCGCGCCCGGCAGGCACTCGGCAGCGCGGATCTCCAGCAGCTGGGTGCTCACCCGGCAGGTCACAGCCCAAGGCTGTGGCAGTCGGAGCTGGGCCTGCCGTTCCAGTTCCCGGCTGCTCCCGACCATGCCAAGAGGGAAGGTAGGAAGGGCGAGCGGGAACCTGTCCTTCCAGTTCTCCTTCGGGAAACGTGGAGCGGGGAGCTCCTTGAACAACAGGCGGTGGGGATGAGAACTGGATGGGGACGAGTAAGTTGGCAGGCACGAAGGGTCTGGAGAAAAGACAAGTTCTCTGGGGCGCTGGAAGTGAAAGGGGAGTTGGAAGGGGAAACTGGGTCTGCCTGGAGGGCAGGGCTAAAGCAAAGCTCATAAGCAAGAGTCTGGAATCCAGCCTGTTGGGAGAAGACTTAAAAACAGACTGGGAATGGGAGAAAATTGCCAGGAGAAGGACACGCGACCCAGAAGGGATGGGGCTATCAAGACCGGCACGTGATTTGGCTAAAGGCTGAAGGAGACCTTGCTGGGCAGGAGGGATCAGACGGGAGAGCTGGAGCGGGCGAGGGAGGAGGCCACGGGCCCCCGAGGCTGGGTGTGGGACACAGCGAGGACAACGGGAAGAGGGAATTCACTACTGACAGTGATGGAAAAATAGGCATGAACAGAGACTGTGGAAGGGAGGCAGAGCACAAAGGTGAGGATTTAGGAAGGGGAACAAAGTCCACCAGGAAAACTGTCAAGTCTCTACTGGCAGCAAGTATCTGAAATACACTGAGCACATACCTCGTGCTGGGCTGCATGCAAACTACGACATTCCTCATACAGGGTGAGTTTCCACATTGCTGATGGCCTGCACTGATGTCAACACGGGATTAAACTGCTGGCATTTTTTTAGGTCATCTCTAAATGGAAGAGAAATACATGTGTATTAGAACAACAGTAGTTAGGCTGCAGAGTAAACCACTCCCAAGTTATGAAATACCAGAATAAAGGCTGCCAGTGCAAAAGGATAAGCCTGGCTCAGACGCTGAACCAAGGCCAAGGAACCAAGGTAAGTGCCTAAACAACTTCCACTGAATTTACTGTAAAAATCAGACGATGGTGTTTTATGTACCTTGCAAGGAACCGCGGGGAGAGCAAGGATGGCACTGGGGCTGAGGTGGGTGACTGCTGCTCCAGGAAAGGGCTTCAGCCTCAGAACTCCTCTGGGATGCCAAGCACAGTGCTTGAAACAGAAACTTCACAGCGATGCACTAATTGTGCAGTCTTTACTTCCTAGGTGCTTGATTTGACATTTTGAAATCTGATTTGCAGAACTGAAGAGCACTTGCAGATATATCTGCAGTAAATGAGAATTTATTCAACTTTCGACTAAATTAGGTGCTTTGCCGTGTTGTATTTTCTGACAAAATCAGGCCATGAGTATTTCTAACTGGGTATCTAAATTTAAAAGGTATTTTTTACTATTCTGTCTGTATAGCTAAGTTCCTCATCTGTAAAATAAGGGTAACACCAGTTCTCGCAACAGTGTTGAGAAAATGAATTAGAGTTTGTGAAGCACTTGGATACCATAGCGATGAGCACCATGGAAAAGCCCAGGAGGAAATGAATAAATCTGTCCTCAGAACAATATTTGAATAGTGTGCAGTAAATAAAGCATGGGCCGCATAGTGAACAGCGAGGAGAAAATAAAATTATTACTTAGTGAGCACAGTCTACTCTGTACAATGAGTGAGGCCGGGAACCTGCCGAAAGAACAGCGTGTGATCTAATTACAATTAAAGAGTGAATCATAATGCAAATGCACAAAAGGGACAAATTACAGTTGCATGGGCCACCTTATTGTCAGCATTTCTAAACTTTTAAACTCTTGAATTAAAAAAGCCACACCTTTAGGCTGCAAGCGCGTAATATACGCGTATAAATGATTCCCTCACCCTGTAATAGCTGGAGACAATACATTTACCTCGCCTACCTCAGCCACAGCTACACGGTTGAGTGAAAAAAGTGTTTTTCTCCTCTTGGAGATATCTCAGCCTTACAGCCAAGATTTAATGCTGTCATTCACACACTGATGTAGAGTTTTAAATTCAAAATTTACCTTCTTTGAGAGTCTGTGCGTGATCATCGGAGACAGACAGTGTTCTCCTGAGGGGGATCCAGAGGAGGACCTTAATTTCAGTGATTAAAATTTTGTTTTATGCTTGAGGTGCTTCATATTTCAAACGAGCCTACTGTATTTTGGTGCAGAAGCAAGGGTATGGGAACAATGACAACTTCACTCATCTTTTGCGACTCCTCGGTCCCGAGGCTAGCACTGAGCCTTTCTGACTCCTGCTGAGATTTGGAGCCACTTCAGAGCTGCTGTAAATTGCACTGGGTTATCTGTTGCCCACAAGAAGGGTGATGAATTTAGGATTCAACTGTTCAATGGCACGCTGGTTGTGTCCATTTTTCTGATTGTGATTTCTCTATTGGTTAGCGGGATGTGAGGTGACACTGAATCGTTACGCCAATTTATTGTTATCCAGAGAATTTTCCATTACTGGGCATCCTCTAGCAGCTGGTTAGGGCAATTTTGGGATAAGAAGGAGCTGCAGCGCAAATAAAGATGTGGCTCATTAAGTTTAAGACTTACAGCTATGAGATACTCACCTTCAGCCTAATCTGCTGTGCTGCCTCCCTCGTGTGCGAGGCACCAGCTACGTCCACAGACGACTTCTGGCAGTGATGACCTGTCTGATTATTCCTGCACAGGTCTCCATACCGATTCCAGCACCACCGTGCCCAGCAAGGTATGCTATCGTTCAGCAGGGACTAGATTTTTTTTTTTTTTCATACTTATTGGTCACAGATGTGGTTTTGCAAACTGCTCTGAGGTTAAATGTCATCCTCCTGACTTTGCAGAGCAAATTCTAGGTTAGCAGGCCATTTGCCAGAAACCCTCTAACCCCAGCACATATTTATGTCATTCCTGATGTCAACAGCTAAACAATTTCAACTCCTCACTGGAGTCGGGGAGGGTCATATATGGAGGCAGACCTTCCAGTAACGGGTTAGTTCCCTGGGAAGTTTGAGAGGAAGACAGAGCTCCTTTGCTTGAGTCGGTGTTTAACAGTCTGAAATACAAGCAGAGCAGCTGGTGTGAAATGCTTTCAAAGGCTTCAGTTGCTGAGCAGAGGGAGCTGTTGAGGTCTGATCCAATGTTTGTTTATTTAGGGGATTTCAGATGTAGATAGAGGGAACCTAGAATCCAAAATGCAGGGTTTGCTGAATCCAATCCACACTTTAAAGGAAAAGCATAATTTATTTGTTATTGGTATGTGCATAAAGATGCGGGATGTGGCTGTCTGGGCATTCAGGAGAGAAATCCAGGTAACCCCCACGGGAAAAACCTGGTGTTATTGCAGTCAGCGGGATTTTTGCCATCCATTTAACCAGAGGGAGATTTCATCTCCGGAAGCCTGTCATGGGATGACACTGTGCCACAGGCATTCACAGTGTTATCAGTGACACTTAGTTTGGTAATTTTCCCTGTTTTGGTGGTTGTCATATAGTCTTTGTTCTCAGGCGAGATCGTTGCTGGAGAGACACTGACAACTGAGTCTCCATTCTTCTCCCCCTAGCAATGCCCTCGCTTTGCCAGCGTCCCTTTTCTCACTGAGGTACTGTAACTCACCTTTGGACTGAAAGATTTTTTGCACATCCAGTAAGAGAAGAGACAGACGGTCCGTGCCCTCCTGTGTGAACAGGATCAGCCTCCTCTGCAGCTTAAAAACCACATAAGCCAGACGAGGATTCCAGGTGGTGTTTATCCCAAAGCATTTCCAACAATCCCACAAGAATGTTAATTACTGACACCAACAATCTTGTTCTCATTCGTATAATGGGAGTGCCTAAAGGTCTTACCTGAGGTTGGGTCCTATTGTATTAGACACCGTAGGAGCATGCAATAAAAGCAAGTCCTTTCCCCAGAAAGGTTATAGCCTAGCAGGTTATCCTGGCAGGAAGTTAGAAGAAAAGCAGAACCATGGAAAGGTGCTGTGAGTCACCAAAGGCTGTGCAGCAGGTCCCCGTTTCACATCTCCCGAGTCCTCGTGCTTCGGTGCTATGTAAACATCACCCCGTTTTCTCCCGGTGTCTGTGCCGGCGAAGGCAGGGAAGTGAGACTGTAGCAGACTGAGAGCAATTCAAAACGGAGTGGAAAAAAGTGGAGAGGAGAAAGGATAAAAACAAAAGGAAGAGAATCGATACCTAGCACATAGAAGCAGTCATTTGCCTCTGGGCTTGGGAAATCAAAGAACCAGTCTTAGCCCAGCAACAGAGGATGCCTGGAAAATATACAGTCCATTGCTCCTGGTGATCTCAGCACACTTCACAGATATTAATTAAACGACACCTCTGCCCAGTGTGGAAAGTTACTACTAGCAGCATCACCCTGCCGCGCTTTTTTGTGTTACCTGATAGATACAGCCAACGTGTTGGGTCATACGGCTGGAATCCTTTGTTCCTCTTCTTCTTTGTACTTGGCAGTTGCTCCCCATTAACCCCCTCCCCGCCCCCAGCCCATGCACCCTGCGCTCTCATGACAAGAGGCCAAGGCACGCTTCCCGGTGGCTACGCAGCACTGTCGTCTCCCTCCAGCTCTGGGACCCGTCCACTGCTCAGGGGGCTCATCAGCTGCATTTGTGGAGGGCTGGAAATGGAAAGAAAAAGCCACATTACCTGCATGAGACACAAATGGATCAGCCGGAGTCAGATGAGCAAGTCTCACGAATAAAACTTGGGACTAGATAGATTCTACTGTTGTGTCAACACCTACAACTCCCACGAGTGTCCACTGCTGTTGGCGGTTGGTCATGGCTGGCTTGTATCTTAGACTACTACTTTAGGTGTTTGAATATACATATATCATGATTGCAGGAGCCCCTGTTTGAAAATAGTGGCTAAAGTATCCCTCTGCTTTAACTGGCAGAAACTGGAGGCACAGAGTAGCTTTAGAACCTTGTGACAAAATAGTGCATATTAACAAAACTACTTTAGTTCACTAACTTAACAGCTCAAAACCAGTGGCACCCATCATTACTATGATGTAGTGAAGACAGGGACGATGATCTGCAGAAACAGGAAAGAATACTGACACTGGACAACAGCTTGGGACAGGGACAGAGTCCTGCTTACTGTAATGAGCAACTATCCTGTTCCTACACTTCTCATGCAGCCCTCTAAAGTCAGAGTTTTGGGTCTGCTTCCTCCTACTAGAACGCTCCTCTAAACCTCATCACCCTTTGAAATGCTGTGAAGGAATTTCCTACAAATACAGTGGATTTTTCACTGAAGAAATATTGGACTTCTTCCTTTTTACCATGTCATGTGAAAAAGGGACAAGCTCAAACAGTTGTAAGATTTAACTTTTCAGAACAGATCTTCAGGTTCATGTGTCAGAGACTTTGAAGAATTTACTGTGCAGTTTTAAATGTAAATTTATCTATGCATAAAAGTGCAGAGATCTAATTTGACTCTACCCAGTAAGTTAAACATCTTGTTACCAGTGCCATAAAGCAGCAGATCCAAGACCTCCTTTAGACAGGGTTTCCCCTGCCCAGGCTCACAAGGTGCCACTGAAGGATGCCTGGAGCCCTGGAGGACTTGTCTTTTGCCAGCGGCCTCCTGCCACACGATCTGTGCCCCATGATCGTGGCGTCTCTCAAAGCACCTTCCTGCCAAAAAAGGCAGGGGGGTCATGCTGCAGCACCTGGGTGTGCTGCAAACCTCCAGACACCGCCTTGGTTAGGCAGCTGTCAGAGGAGAGCGTGGAGGTCTCCTTCCAGAGAGCAACCGCAGTGAGACAGCCCTGATTCACTAAGGAGAGGAACAAGCTTCTGTTCCCAGCAGTTTCTAGCTTAAAGGCAGAGCTATGCCTTCAATCATTCTGCATAAATTTTGTTTTGAAATCATTTCTAGTCTCTTGCAAATTTTAAGCATCTCCAAAACTGGGGCAAATTTGCCAACATTTTTTCCTAGTTTTCAGCAGTCCAATTTCTTACCCCCATTAGTGCTGTCTGAATCTTTCTCAGATGCCAGGACTGAGCAATTTGGAAACACCAGGACAGTTTAAAAAGAAAAGAATACATTTTGTCCTGAGGAATGTTTACAGCACTGACAGCTCTAGCATATAAAACGTGGGTAGCCTTCAAATAGGTAAAGTGTTTTACTCGCTAAAGCTGTCAATCTGGCACTTTTCACAGACATTAATTTTACTTTCTTTTTTGTTTAAACATCCCTTCAGGGCAACAGTTCTGGAAAAACACCACCACTCTCCCACCTTTCCATGCTCCTCCCAGGGGACCGGTGATCAAAGCCAGGAGAGCAAAACATGCAACTCCAGTGGGTTATGAAATGTGGGTGATCGTGCCATGAACCCTTGTATCTTCCTGACAGATACGCTGCACACTAAGAATATCAGGATTCACACGTCTGCTGTCACGATGTGGCTTTACCAGATATTTTTATTTCCTCAGTACCTGAATGGCAGCTTTAGAAATCAAATTACAGTCCGAGTGCTACAGGCTGCAGCCCCTTGACTGAGCCACTAAATCAGACTAACTGAAACAACAAATATGCCTGAACAGCAGTTCCTTAAGAAAATGTTGCCCTTATAACACACTGCTTTTACTTCTAACATAACTTGACTGGACTTATTGACTGCTTGGTATTTCTGCTACTGTATTTGAAGTTTATTGATTCTAAGAAATATGAAATGAGTTTCAAAGAGGTCAGAATGTGACTTTGTCCAAGTGAGACACAAAGACATTCAGAGATACTAAAGTGACAGACAGAACTGCAGGAAACTAAATGTTGCTAGCTCATACTGACAGAGATCCGTGCTTTTTGAACATCACTGCACATTGAGAAACCTGGCCCAAAGAGAGGTGAAGGTGCCAGTCCACCTCCTTGTGAACAGGTACCACCACACTGTAAATGTTGCCCAGGCTGTTGCTCCACCTAATTCCCCTTCCACTAGTAGGTATTTCTGTGTGTGTGTGTGGGGGTGCTTTTAGGAGGACCAAAGGTTGAAATGGCATATCCTCCTTCAGTGCAGTGGGAGGTACGTGCTGGTAGGGAAATCTGGGAGGAAAATACTCTTGTGTTATACAGGTAATGGACGTTTTGCATAAAGGCAAGATGCCTTCACATTCCCAAAGGAATTTAGCTAAAAAGGATCACTGCCAAAAACTGGAGAGAATTTAGATGCTTGGACCAAATTTACATTGCTAAAAATGGGGAATTGGTAGAGAAAGACGTTAAGGCTATCAGAAGGACCCTTCATTTCTGACAGTACAGAAGCGTATGTTTTCAACAAGAAATCCGTTTCTCAAAAAGACTCATTCCATGTTCAAAAACTTACCATGAGGGCTGAGAAGAAATGGATGTTTATGTCTATATCATCTGGAATGAACATTTACATTCTATGAAGAAAAGAAATGGCATTTTTCAGATGCGAGCCCTCTGAGGCAGGTAACAAGTAAGATATATTTGACAGAGGAAGAAAAGCTTTCCCACAACTATAATGTTCTTCTAGCCCCAAATGGCTGCAATATGCTTCTAAAATCCTCTTTCAGGCTAAAGCTTGCTGCACAATCTGTTAGTTTTGTCTAAACCATCCTTTCAAATGGTAGTCCAGCTTCTTCCTTCTGACCGCTAGCCCACTCACCAGATATCAGGTACCACTCATCAGGTCCTTCTGGGGTTGTCATCGCGGTATCTGCAGTCAGCCGCTCCTTCTCAGGCTGCTAGGTCATTCTAGGAAGTACTGCTTTTGGAGAAGGCAGCACAGGGGAAGACAAGGAAGAATATTACTGACATGCTTTTGATGTTTACTGCTGCTACTACCATTAATGTGTGTTTTTACTAAAGAGCAGAACTCACATATGCTTAGCTTAAAAAGAAAGCTGTAAAATAGTACCAGTGAAGGACATCAGGAAGAAAATACATAACACTCCTATTCTCTTTCTTTTTTTTTTTTTGGTTTTTTTTTTTTTTTGTTTTTTTTTTAAAAAGTATTGCATCCCATTTCTGGCAAATGTCGTAGTACATGGGGTATGGTGCCTCCAGAAGACTCCCGAAGAAGCACATGCTGTGCACAGGCGCCTGCTGCAGGAAGTGAGCAGTGAGAACTCTGACACTGAGCAAGGCAAATACCTCACTGTGAGCAATTTCCAAACCAGAAAGATGAAGAAGTTAGTCTTGTTCCCAGCTACAGGCAGTTCTGACGCATGAAAGGTTTTACGAATTTTCAGTTGACACAGGTGAAGGATCCCTACCATGTTCAAAGTGACAAAGCTGAGAAATTTCGCACTTCACCTAAAAATGACAGATATGGTGTATGTAAAGAAAGACTAAGCACAGAAGGCTTTGTGAGTCTCTCACCTGAACAGCTTATTGGCAGTGCTGAAAGGCTAACTGAACTCAGATAAGAGATCAGATCCTGATTGGGTTTTGGAACGAGCCACTCAAAAGTAGATTTTTTTACTCACAATTAACATGGGCATCAATGAACCCAGCACTGGACCTGCTGCACCGCAGCAGCTGACTTGGAGACCACCTTTCAGACTGTGGGTCTGAGGTCAGTGAACCCATCCGTGCAAACAGCACTGGAAAGTCACCATGTCTATACTAAAGCTGACTGAGAGAGGAGAGATCTGATAATCCAAAAGTCTACAACAGAAGGGAGTAGGGTAGAGATCTGTAGAGTTCAGGAGCAGTCTGCAAAAAACCTGCGCAATGGAACTGGGCGGTGGGGTGAGCAACAGAAACCAGTCCCCACCTTTGGGAAAAGACGGGGTAACTCAAGTGATGATATCAAGAACGTGTGAATGCGAACGCGGCGGTCACTGTGGCCGAAATCCCCATTCGGAGTACGTCATGGGCCGGGGTGGGTGGGGTGACTGCAGCAGAGGGTGAGCAAACCACAGCCCGAAAGATAACTGAATATTAATTAATTATTAGTTGTACATCAACTCATGGAGTGCTAGGAACTTAATTACCACCACCACCCCCACACACACCAAAAGCTACAAAAGCAGACTCTTGAAATAGGGCAGCGAGTGAAACTGCACTTACAGCAGGCGTCTTCCCGCTGACCAAAGGAATCCATTGTTAAATATGTGGGGAAACAACAGCCAGCAAGAGATGGTCTGAAAAATGAGCAGCCTATATACTTGTGCTGAAAAGCCTTGTTCACATTAGAAGAACACCTTCACCAGAGTAACTGAACAAGAGAATGAGGATTTTTTAAAAAAAATAGGGAAGCCTGCCCAGGGCGCTAAGTAAACCTGAACAGAGTGCACTCATCTTAAAGCTCCTATTTTACGTGGAGCATAGCAGACAAGAGAGGAAGGGGTGAATAGGCTCACAGCCACAGCTCTGTGAAAGACAAGAGGAAATGCAGGACTGACAGCAAGTGGACACTCATGGGTCACCGGAAAAAGGGGGAAAAATGCAACCCTTTGTGATTACAGTTAAGCACAAATAAATATGTAGGAAAAGAACATTTTCTGTTTCCTGCAAGGAGTACAGTTTGGGGGCAAATGGCCTATGCCAAATATTTTTCTCTGCTGGAGGCATCGGCAGGGTTCTGACAGGCACGTTAGGAAAACAGACCATACGTTTGTGCATATTCAACAGCCCCTATGGGAGACATAATTTTCTCAGGCTGCCGTTTGGGTTGTGTTTGGCACTTGAACTGTTTCATGGGCTTTGATAGCCTAGGATCTGTGTAGATGATGTTTTGTTCTGAGGGAAAAGAGTAGAAGCACATGACCAGGAGCTCTGATCAGCTTTTGAAAGACCCAGACCAGCAGAGCTCAACCAACAAAACTCCTTTGTAATGGAAATGTCATACCTAGGCATGAAATTAGGAAAGCAATGTGTACAAGCAGATTATAGTAAGATTGAAGTCATACCCAGTATTCCTGCCCCAGCAGAAAAGGTTGCAACATTAAAGATAGCTTTGAGCGGTGAACTGCCTGCCCAATTTAGCTGCCCAAGCAATCAATGATGGATCTTTATGTGCAAGGGCGGTCAGTAGATCTAACACACAGATCTTCACAGGGAAACTGAAAGGAGCTAATATAGCCCGAGATAAACAGAATTAAGTGCAAAACTGGACACAGACCTTTACAGACCGGTGCTGGCTGAGCTGAATTCGCTCCTTGCACTCTCACTAGTGCTTATGATCCTAGTGAGGCATGAAGATTAATGCTTAGAAAAAAGCATTTGCTTTCCACTTTTTGTAAAGCACTTGTAGGCTGTCTGCTTGAATGTTTCGTCTGGTTTCAATTAGAGATTAGTATTAGTCTCTAATTACAGTCTTAGCTGGGTTTAGTTTTGCTCTCCCCTGTCCCATTCCAGAGGAGCCTGAAGTGACACCCTTCTATCCTTACTGCTATGATTGCTAGGAAGTGAATTTGATAATAAGTCAGACTGCTTACACTCCAAATTGACCAGCTCTATTCATGTCAGCGGGGTTGCCCTGTTTGCAATGCAGTTTGAAACTCTCTGGTGCCCTGAACTCCGGAGAGGTAATGACTGTTATTCAGAGTTAACACACAAATCACTGAGCAGGCAGTTGAAAAGTCATGCAAATTCTCTTTGTTCCCAGGAGGTGCAGCATAAGTGGCCTCATAGGAGCTTAAGGAGGAGTTTCAAGGCTATCCTTGAACACGGGATGCTTCCTGGGGCATCACAGATGCCAAAAAAAACTTATTTCTTTAGCTGTTTTGCTAATTACCACTGCTGTGGTGTGCAAAGGGAACACTACAGGGTAGAGCCCTTGCCATGAAGGCAAACACGTCAGTAAGCCGAATACACTAAACAGCTGAAAAGAGTCAAGCTGCACAGGCCAGGCTGGTGTGGAAGTCATGAGTCTCTGAAGATGTGCACGCTGAGACAACACCTAGAGGGGCAGCATCTTCCTGTTTGACTCCACTCGCTTTCTTAATTAGGCTTCTGTAATCATACAGCAGAAGGAAAAAGCCGTCCCCCCCTTTGGAGAAATATCGCTGCGGTGCAGAAGTAGATAATGTGTATTTTCCACCGAGGCCTAACAAATAGTAGGAGGGTGCCCCAACCCTCACTATATACCCACAGAAGCTCAGGGCAATGTACGAGCATTCATTTGGCCTTTTCTAGAAAAGGTAAAATGACATGAGTGTACTTTGAGGGCGGGACCACACACCGTGTTTTGCAGTCATGCAGAGGGCATCTACCACCTACTGCCCTTCTCCACCAGACCAGTTCATTCTGACTCAAATATTTAAGGGAGAAATCCCAGTCAGTCTTGCCAGCAGGTCGGCAGGAAAGGTCTATCTGGAAGACATACCCCCAAGTGCCTTTGAGAAGGCACAGAAAACACTGAAAATTAAGAGTCTGCCATGCATAGGCAGCTCCTGCAGCAGGGAAAGCTGAGAGCAGGTTTTTCAGGATCCTGACTCTGGACCGAGGTGCTTAAATTCTGTGCAAATTTCACTTCAGATGTCTGCTTAAATCTAGCCTCAAATCTCCCTTTATTCCTGTGGAGCACAGCAATACTTCCATGGTGTTTCACACTGTCATTGTTAACCTCAGTAATACCTCTTCAAGACCTAGGGGTAGAAGGTCCTGCACAAAAAAGCTTTTATTTTATAACTGAAAGTAAGGTAAAAGAGGACATCAAATAACAGAGACAGCCTGAAGGCACCGAGAGGCTTCAGAGAGACATAACATGCTTGAGAAAGGTAAATCTTGGGCTCAAGGGCTGCAGCTGATCTTGGGCCCCTCACCTCAGCAGACACTCAGCAGCCTTGGTGCTGCACAGCTACGTGTGTCATTCCTTGAGCAAGGTCTCTTGGCTCCAATTTCTCTGAGGTGCCGTTCTATATGGAAGCTAAAGATCATTAAAATCTTCCAGAGGACAACCATGATATCCAGCCAACATTCCTCCCTTCAATAAATAAAACAGTTTCTAGCATAGGCGGCTTTGTGAATTATTGCAGAGCACATAATAGTCCCTGTATTTGCCTACACAATCGCTGCACTCCCCAGATCTAACTCATTACTGTGCTTAGCGAAGCGCTTTCAACTGCCTCAAGCATGAAAAGCACCATATAAGAACAAATTTTACTCTCATAAAAAGGTATTAAGGCAAGTTAGAGGCACTATTGATGCACATGATACGTTATAATTGGCAAATGCTCACAAAGGCAAAATCCAGCTTTGTGCATCAAGCTGGAGGGTACCTGTGTGCCGAGAGTCTGGCTGAGTGCATCCTCTCCTCTGCCCTACAGCGCTCCCAGCTCCCACAGATGAGCTGGCTGTCTGAGAGCTGCGACGTCCTAAACACAGCCCTTTCACCGGGGGTGAGAAGAGGGACTCTCCTTGACCTGATTTTAAAGGGAGACATGATCCCAGCTGGCTGGGCGTTAGCCAGCTGCACCTCAGGCTCTCCTGACCCATCATCCCCCCCCACAGTCATTTCAGTCACCGTCGCCACCCAACCCAACACCCCCAAGGATCACAGCTGCGTCCCTGCACCTTAACTGGAGCACGGGCCACCCCTCCCACAGCTGCCAACCCGGCTCAGCCGCCACCTGCAGCACCCTCTGTTGTTCCCTTCCCGGAGTTCGCCCAGCTCCTCCTCCCTACCAGGACCATCCCTTTCTCCCCCAAAACTATCAGGGCACCACCGTTACGCCACCCTGTCCTGGTCTGGACTCCCATTCCCTGTTTACTAGTCTTGCCAAATTTGTTTATTCCCGAAATATTTTCTGTGAAACAGAGGGATGCTGTAGCTATAGAACTGAGACAGCTCAAGTCCTTCTTATGAGGAACATGTAAAACTCAAATAGCTTCTAGTGACCCCGAAATCCTGGAAAATAAGCAATGTTTGGAAGTGTCAGGTTATTCACCTTCACAAAAGCCTTTATGTCAGTGCTGTGCCTGAGGATGTTACCAGAGAAGCCAGGAATGTTCCTGGGGTTGGAGGGTAGTGGGCAGAACATTTTTTGCAGGCCCACACAAAAATGTTGGGTTGTCTCAAGCCAATGTCATGTCCTGGAAGGACATCAGAGTCAGCACTTTCACTGCTGTAATTACCAGCAACCAAGATAAATACATTAAATATTAATGGGAATATTGAGATATAACAAAAACTAATAGAGAAACCACAATGGTATGTGCTCGCAGGCACATGTGTGTGCACGTGTGCGCAGCCTGTCCAATGGAGTCTCGTGAGCATCCAAGATCCTGGCTCACGAGCTACACTCAATCTCTGAAAGTTTCCACTGCCTTGAATTCCTTCCGTATAAAGGAAGCCTTGCGGCCCATTTTTAAGCTCGCACGGCTTCATTTTGGGCTAGAAAGCACACCGCTTTTTAGGTCTGAACTCAGCTTCTCTTCTGGACTAACAGGAATTTGGAAAGCTGGAAAGATTGGGCAATCATCCCGGGGAGAGAAAACTGTGTCCCCCCCCATGATAGGCCCTGTGCCCACAAACCTGCCTTCAAGGCTCATAGCCCGGAGTCTTCAAGAGGAGAGCAGTTAAGAGTGAGTGTAAATCTCCGAAAACCTGAAGTGCTCGAGGCTTCCTATACTCTGGGACTGAGGAAGGGGGAAAGCACGTGCACTGGCACATTCTCCAAAGGCTGCACGCCGAGATCCCCAATCACTTCTTATTCCAGCACTCAGGAACTCAGTGCAGTCAGAGCCTCGGGATTTATCTCGCCATGAACCCACACGTAAATGAGCCGCACGCAAGGAGAGGTCACCAGAACCTGCAAGAACCTGACTATGAGACTATGCAACACGGGGCCCGCTGTGGCAGCCGCGTCGAGGGGGAACGTTTCTAGAGCAAGGATCTGGTGCACGGAGTATCTCTGTGGTTGAGCATGCAGGAAATATTGCTTGAGAGCTTTCGCTCCAAGTGCGCAGTAAAAGGTTTTTTATATTTCTCAATCTGGTTAAATTTTCTTGGCTGCCCTCCACCCTGCCCACAAAGTGCTGATGGAAAAGGAGGAAACTCTTACTTGCATTCACAAAGATCGGGAGTTTTCTTCCTCCACAGAATGATGAACGGTTCAATGGAAGTTTAATCCAACAGGTCCCTTGCTGGGTGTCCAGTGGCCTGGTCACCCCTGCTTTAGCCAAGCACGCGTGCAGCGGAATGAGCTTAGTGTTAATAAGCAGGAAGAGACCTGGACTGGTGATGTGCTCCCATAGCTTCATTTTTAGATCTTTCCTGATGGGAGAAATTGAGAACCAAAGATGTTCCACCAGACCTACTCATTCACTTAGTGGAGCGCTTTGAAAACGTGGTATGGATCAGTCTAACACCCCAAGCTTCTCCCAGAAGAGAACATGAGTGTGCAGTCACTGCACTTTCGGGAAGCATCAAGAACCAGGCAGATTAGCTTTGTGGCTTTTGTTAGTTGGTTCTGACTTGCTGTTGACTACTTGCCTGCTCACTATTAACACCCCACGGTGCAGTTGTGTTTGACATCCCTATAACAAACCCTGATTTATATGGCCTCACACAATTCCTCCTCCTTTGTGTGGCCTTGAGAGCAGCGTAACAGGCATACTAAAATGGAACCCACTTAAATCAGTCGCTACCAAAGGAACAGACGTCTTCAAAGAGCATTATCTTTGTGAATCAAACTTCACCCTTCCTGAATAATCATTTTTATTTAATGAAATGTAGCTTTTGGGGTTAGGCAGAAGCGGACAAATACTTCCTCCAGTGAGCAGCCTTAAAAAAAAAAGTGAAAGCATGACCGAGATTCACAGAGCGACAGAATAAAAGAGTGAAAAGATCCAGAGAAAAATCAAATGTGCTACGTTCATCACTCAATCATTCAATTACAAGTATTGGATCATCTGTCCAGCTAAAAGAATTCAAGCTCCGTATTTCACGGCGCATTTCTGAACATCTCTGATGGCTTTCCACACGGCAATGCAGCAGATGAGCTGTACTCCTTTCTATACCCACTGCTCATAGAAAATCTGCAAACCAACGTCAGTGATGCTCACCAATTTAGAATCCATGTCAGAAGATACTCCGCCTCCAAAGCATGTCCACTACTTAACGCACTGCTTGCTTTAGAAATGTGGTTTTTCTTTGGTACGATGTGAACACTACGATTACGTGCTGCATGTGCCAAACAGGCAGGGCTGGGTGGGGAAAGAGAAGGGAGGCTTCAGCTCAGAAATGATAGTACCTATTTTTGGCTCCCAAAGCCAAGCTGTGCCGCTCCCACTCTGTTCTGATGATCCAACACGTGTCATTTTAGATGTCATCAAACCCAGGCAGTCACAACAGTTTGAGGTGCTGGGCTTCAGCATCTTGGGGGAGGGAAGATAAGCAGCAATTTTTCTGAAATCTGTGGCAGGAACAAGTTGTATCATGTAACTGTTATTTTATTATTAATATTTAGATGAGGTTATTTTTCAGTCTGAACATATCATTACAACACAGGAGACACATACCTGGCTCTTCCCTCTCCGACAACCCTCCACCAGAATGCAGCAGGACACCTCCTTCTCTGAAGCATCTATCTGATGGGCAACCACGGTGATTTTTTAAGATCTGGTTCCACATCTTGCGGGACCAAATGCCCTCTTGCTCTCTGCTGCCTGGGACACATAAAATACAGTCTAACTGGAGTAAACTCAAGCCCCAAGTCTGTTTTACATAACTACAGCGTTTACTGGGGTTTGCACAGTATTTCCACAGCACTCCAAGTGCTACAGTCCTCATTTTCCTTAGAGATCTGGCCCACAAGCAGTTTACCACACATCTGCTTTGCAGTAAGAGCTCTCAGCATACTTTTAACCTGCAAACAGTGTAAGACAGGGTTAGCTTAGCCCTCCAACAGCTCCCTGGTGGCAACTTATTCACATACTGGAATCCTCAGACAGCACAAGCCAAAGCCTCTGCCCACATCACCCGCTGTAGGTGCCCTCAGCAGGCTGTCACAGCCTCCCCTTTTCACGGCTTTGCAGGGAGGTAGTGCAGGGCAGCCCTGTGAAGGAGACAGTCCAAATCCTCTCTTGAAACTCAACACCCAAGCTGGGAACCTCTCTTCATGGCTGAAGGGGGTCCCCACAGCCACACCACCTTCCCCATCCTGCCGCCAGCAGCCTGGTTCCTGCCTGGCACCATCCACTCAGTCCTGCTCGTACAACTCTCAGTGGAGTGGTGAGACAAATCCAAATGGGAAACTGTTTAGCACACAGCCCCACGGCTCTCTGCACAGACAAGGAAGACGAGGCGGCGGGTGAAGCAGAGCAGCTTACCTTGGCACTGCTGCCAGAAGAAGCTGCTGCAGAACACAGCCTAACTTGGGCATCTCTGACGGGCAGCACTTCGCGCAGCCGGGGCCATGCCAGCACTCTTCAGGAACGCAGGGAACCAAAACGCAGCCTTGTAGGTCTTCTGCTCACCTACCCGCAGGAGCATCTTTTCTTTCTTCAGCTGCTTTTCTTCATTACATTATCCCGCAGTACGCCGTGCTATCAAGTAATTAGAAAAACATACGTAACAGTTTCTCAAAATGCCAGAGCGTTTATCTTTAGAAATGTAACAGTGAAAGAAAATGACACCATGCAGACACCGTAAAAAGAAAGGGTTCACTATATTAAAAAAAAAAAAAAAAAAAGTTACATTCTTGATCAAGGAACAAACCAGTATGAATAATCATAATCACATTTTGCAGCCATGTAACTCTTTTTATCTTTTTGTCTCCCAAACATCTGAAGAATATGAATGGATGTCTGAATCCTTTATGTGAGAATAGCTTAAATTAGCAATGAGAGAAAATACGCAGCCACGTATTGATCTGAAAAGACAGAGCGAGTTCAAACCTGAGTTAATGGTCCCTGATCTTGGATGGGGCTGGCAGAGCTCGCCTCCTCTCAGGACCAGCCCCATCCTCTGTTACTGCCAACCATAGAGCCTGCGAGCGCTGCCGCTCAATTCTTTTAAGCAAAGGTTGGCTGAAGGAGCACAGCACCATTTTATTTAATCACGATGGAGTTTTGGTATCCACAGGAAAAAATCCGGGAACTGGAGTGTGTTTTCATGATCAGTGACTACAGAGTGGTATAAAATGTCTGCACTGCTTCTTTCCATTCCAGCCTGCGCCTTTGAAGTCATGGTAACAGCTTTTGGATTCGAATCCTCTGATGAGACTCCTTGATTTATTAGGTAAAACATCTGGAAAAAATGAAGACTTGTGGCAGTGTAAATCCTCCAGAAGGAGCAGAGAGAGGTTTCATCTGAACAGTACTCCTGTCAAAAAGCAAGGAAACCTGAGCCCTGGCGACTGGCTTAAGGTTGCTCCGAGGTTGAAAAGCTCTGGCTCAGAATGGGCCTGTTCACGTGTCACCCACTGGCCCAGAAACCAGCACGCAGACTTGGCGGGGGCTGCGAGCTGAGAGAGGAATGTACATCAGCTAACAGCCCTGGGTGCTGGGACCATGCCGTAGCTAACGAAATGATTCTCACCCGCTCTTGCAGCTTGAACGTCAGTAGCAATTCTGCCCTTGACATTAATAAGGTAGCGCCTGTTATAAATCACTGCATACTGTGGGAGCGGTACGAAATGTAAAATACCTGCCTCTCTCCCTCAAAGAAAAAGGCAACAGCAAAATATAGATGGGCCAGAAATACGCAGCTCAGGTCACCTACGCTGCACTGCTGTGATGAGGAGGGGTGTCAGGGTGACTCCTCCGTTCCCCAATTACAACGGCCCATGCAAGTAAAGGAATGTTGGCTTTGGCAGGAGAAGAAAATTACCATCTTTGGGTAGCACTGATTTGACAGGAATAAATAAAACCTGTACAGGTAACAAACAAGGAGACGGGCATTTTATGAAGTGGATTTCTTCTTTTATTTGGAATAAACCCTGAAGTAAGGCAAAAAAAAAAAAAAAAAAAGAGAGGAGAAAGGGAACAGCAGGAACAGCTTGCTGTGCTTTGGAGTTGCTGCTAATGGCTTCTTCTATGAAGTGTGTGTGCGGGGGCACATGTGTGTGAGCACGTGCGTGTGCATCTGTGCGTATCTGTGTAAGCTATTTGTTAGATGAGGGCAAAGCTAGAAATCACGGAGGTACTTGACTCAGAATTATTTACTCTCTCTGCCTCCTCCATACAACAACCCATGTTCCAAATTTCAGAGCTCATGCTCTGGGGAAAATCCCCAGAGAGCCATCTTTTGACAGTTATTTTCCCATCTAAATCCCCCTTCCAGCAATTTGAATAACACAGTTCAAACACCAGCCCGAGTGCCAATGTTCTTTTTGGAGGGGGCGTAGGACCAGCGGAGGAGGGGGGAGTTTGGGGAGTATTTTTTTAATCAGATAAATTATTGCTGGGAAACCAGCCACTTCTCTCCATTCAATTTATACTCTATGGGGAATCCATCTAATACCCCTTCTCTTAGTGTGAAGCAGGACCGGCGAGATGCTGTGTCAAACCAGGGAGGAAGGCAAAAGATGGGATGGAGTGCAGGGAATGAACAAACGGCGGGAGGAAGGGGCTATGCAAAAGCCGGCGGACAAGAAGAAAAGCCAAAGAGGCACACATGCACCTCCTCAGACAAGGGAGGAAAAGAGAAAACGCTTTTGCTCCTTCCTCTGCTGGCAAATGGGAGCAGGCTCTGGCGCTCAGCGTGGGCCGGGAGTGGGACGAGGTGGCTCTGAGCTTCGGGGCTGACGTAAGGAGCTTTTCACCTGCAGGGAGGTGGCACAGCTCCAGGCAGGTCTGTAGCTACACGGGATGGAGGTTCCTATCAGGCGCTGCTTGAGTTTGCAAAATGAGTGTAGTGATTTCACACCGGTTCCCAGTGGAACTGGGAACGTGCCAGCTCACCTCCCCATTGTAATTGGAACTGGTTAATGCTTTGCTGGCCGGCTGAGAGAAGCCAAGGACTGGGAACGGAGACAGCTCCCAGCACATCGGGTTTCAGACAAGCTTGCAGGGCAGCATGTCTGGGAAGCTTGCCTTGCTGTCTGGGCATACCTTTTATTCTTGTTTGTGTTACCCCAACACCTAAGGCCCCGACCAAGACAAGGCTCCATTGTGCTGAGGCGCTGTACGTGCACGCAGCGAGAGCCGGGCCGCGTCCCGAGGAGCTCCTAGTCTGAACAGGGAGACAGCCAGAGGTGGGGTGGGGAAGCAGGTGCAGAGGGAAGGGAAATGGTTTCCCCAAGCTCCCCAGCCTCCAAACCAACACCAGAACCCGCTGCCCGGTACCAGGCCGGGGCACTTGCTTCTCTTTCACCACCAATTTAGTCCCTAGGCTTCCCGCCCCCGCGCTCCGCAGCGACTGTAAATGCACAGAGGGTTTTTAAGGAATTACAGGGTAATGGCACCTGAATGGGTGTCACGGCGCAGTTTTCTGGCCTCTTCTTCTTCTTTGTAACAAAGAATGAAAAGCTTTAGTGAGAGAGTTGGCTCAGGAGACAAGGAGATTTCTGAGGAAGATTTCCCAGATTCTGGGAGTGACTACGGTACAAATAATGGTGGAAAATAAAGGAATTGACTCAGCAGGAGGCAAAAGGGAACAAGTGGAAGAGTAACTCTGCTCTGGAAAGCTGCAAGGAGAATATGACACATAAAGCAAAAAAGAGAAATAAGGCAAAAAAGAAAACCTCAGACATGTATAATCTCCATTTCAGATAGCTTCCTTCTGCCAGCCTGCCTGTCAAAAAACTGCTGAGCACCCATTCTCAGATCAGGCCTTACACAGAGTCCAGTTATTTTTGGCCCAAAACAAACAAAAGAGATTCTTTTAATTCAGAGCTCATTTCCGTCTGCCATAACAGGCCATGGGCTTTCGATCAGCCCTTGATTTTCTGACTCCAAATCTAAGCTGTGTGAAGGTGTCATTCCTGATACTGCAGCTTCCTTTCCCAGGAAAAAATAATGCTTAAAGCAACACTGATCTAAACACTTAATTAAAACCCCCCTCTAGCCCACCTACCAAATAAACTTATTTCCAGACTTCAATTAACCTCCAAGTTATTACTTGGAATTACAGATCTCCCTAGAAATGCCAGAACTACTCGTGCCAGGATGAAGTGAGCCCACTTGCTCTGCAAGTGTCAGGCTATGGGGATCATCTTAGCCTGTAGTGGCTTTTGTCCAGCTGAGGCATTCTCAGAAAAAAAAAAAAAAAAAAACTGATGATTTTTTTTGGCATTTTCTCCCTTTCTAAGAAATGGAGAAAGTGCTGTCTCTTCCTCCTCGTAATTTTTTCTGGTATTTTGAGTCCCCAGACATATGCAATTTATTAAAACACTGCCCATTTCAGAGGCTTTATCTGGGACTGGATGAACTCTGGTGGTAGGTATATTCAAGCTGCTTTGTGCATTTAGTTGTCCCTAAATGTCTTTTTGGGAATCTGTTCCAGATTCTAACCATTTTGCACTGAGACTCAGGGACTCAGTAATCTCTCCCCTCCCAATCCCCAAGAAAAACAGAAACACCAACTACTCAACCCTAGATCAAGCACAGACCTTTCTGAAATCCCAACCTGGAATCACCTCTCGTAGGTCTCTCTGTTCCGTGACGCTTGTACTCCACAGGATCTGCAGTAGTCTCCCTGTCCAAGGAAGGAAAACACATGACGTGAATCAGGACCTCTTCTTGACAGGAACGAGGTGGAGGGGCTGCTCTTTGCCTGCAGGTACACCTTAAATTGCCGTTTAAGCCTCTCCAACATTTCTGGAAACGTGCCGGGCTGTGGGAGTTTTGGGCTGCTCCATTCTTCCACGTTGGATATCATCTTTCATTTCTTTTACACCTGATACCATGTGGTTTATAGAAATCTCTCCGGGCTCAATAAACTATGGAAGTGAGCCTCCTTATTCTGTTTTCTTCCTTTTCCTGCCCCTTTTCATCCATTTCCTGGCTCTAAAGCTAAGCAACCAAATCCTCCTGGGTTCACTCTTAAGCACAGGGAGGCTAGACATGGCAGGAAAAAGGGTCCTGCCCAAGCATGAAAGAAAAGGAGGAGTCCCCAGCGCTCGAAGGGGGCAGACACCCGCCTGCTCGAATCACTCTTAGCCTCTGTGATGCAGAGGGTAAGGAAAGGACAAGAAAACACAGAATCTACATCGTCAGGGATCCGTGTCGCTTCAGGAAACAGTTCACGTGCTGCTCCTTGGGGGCAGCTAGACGGACTCAGACGTTTGTCAACAAACACCCCGGTGTGGAAGCCCTGGCAGGTTATGTCAGCACTAGGCTTTTCTCCCCATCTCCCTTGCGACTGTCCCCCTTGGGGTACCTGTGGGAGCAGACCCGGCAGGACAGACGGACCGGCTACCCCCACTCCACACACGAGGCTGACGCACCCCGGTTCTCCTCGCCGTCGCTCCGCCAACGGGAGAGGCACGGCGACGCGTGGATCCCCGAGAAGCCAAAGTACCCCGGCCAGGTTGTTAGGGAATTAGACCCCACAGGTCACCTGCCCCCTCCTGCCCTTCCCTGCGGCGTTCCTGCTCGCTTCCACGTCCTTTATGTGCTTGGCTGGACAAAGGGCAGCGCAGGCCAGTTCGGAGCAGCACGTGTGCTGCCGGGCCGGCTGGCTGCTGCTGCTTCTCCGATCGGATGCGTGGCTGAGGTTTCCTCCACCAGCGGGGACTCTACTTTGGGTTTCTTTTTCCTCCGTCCAGCTGCAAGCCTTCAGTTAATTTGTGGGAATTTTATCAATGAAGTTACTCACAACTCGGATTGACTGACAGTTTCAGAAGCAATTCAAAGGGAGGGAAGACTGACAGAAAAACAGTAGGATACCTCTTTAGCAACTAAAATGCTGAGCAAGAGGGCTGCTGGAAATCTTGTTTTCACCACCCATAAATTCCCTGATGCTGGAAAACGTCCCCCTCCTTTCCTGTATTCTCCAATTTGCTACAAGTTCTAACACGAACAGCTTCTGCTGGGAATAGCTGACTGTGCCAGAATATGATAGTTGCTGTTCCTACGCTGTCCCTCCCTCCCCAGATTATCACATTTCAGCTCTGAAAATGAAAGTTGCTCAGTGTTTACTAACCATTCTGCTCCTTTCCACTCCACAAGGACCTCTGTGGGAGAGCCAGATCTCTGCTGTTTACAAGCCCATCTGCTTCTGTTGCTTTTCTTCACCTGAAGTTAGAACGCTCAGTTCAGGATATTGCTCGTGGTTGTGTTGGGAACTGCAAAGAGCAGATGAGGTTTTCAGGTGGTAAGCAAGCAGCATGAAGAGAAGAATACAAATCTGCTCTCGTCTAAAGAGCCCTAAAAATAATTAAAAAAAAGACCAAGATGAAAGAGGAAATTCCAAAAAGCCAATGATAGTTTCAGCAGCACAATCATTCCAAGGAGAGATTTTCCCATATTTTTCTGAGAATTTGAACATTTGGAACCAGAAGGGAGAAAGCACAAGCGCTCCAATGACTGTACCCCTGAAAACACACAGATCCCTCCGGTCTCTGCATTTTAAAGTCTCTATAGGTAAGAGCTACAAGACTCTGCTTTGCCCAAACCTGTACTGCTGCTGTGAGCTGCTCAGTCGAGAGCTCTCCATGTAGTGTAACTCAAAGCCACACGTTTCCAGGAGTAAGGGGGGACCCTTGGGAGTCAGAAAGAGATTGGAAACGTCTGCCTGCCCTTAAGGCCTTCAGTGGAGCGCTCGGAGACTACCCTCAAAACGCGCTGCCCTCACAGCCTGAGCCTGCGAGCGGGGCTGCAGGAGGGGCTGGAGGGGGCTCTCCGGAGTCTCTTACGCATCTGAACACCCTGGGCAGCCCGGAACACTGCCCGCCAGCGGGCACACCGTGCGACCTGCCTGGGCAGGCTGCTGCAGACACCCACGGGCTCGCCCAGAGGCGGCTGAGAGGACCGGGAGGCGGAGGGGTTGCGGAGCCCGGTGTGCTCACAGACACTGGGGTGTCGGGGGGCTGAATCCCCAGGAGCCCCCTCCCCGGCTCCGCTGGGTGGCACGGGGCCACGTCTGGGCACTGCCTCGGCCCGCGGGGATCGGCACGCCGCCACAACCGCTCGCTGCCTCCCAGCATCCAGTCTGCGGTGCTGGCGCCGGGCTTGGAAGAGAAAACATAAATTGCTGCTGTTCCTGGGCCCTTCGGAGAGCCAGTGAAAATTAGAAGAGCCCAGAGAGAGGAGCTGAACTGCCCTCGACCAGAAAACATAAGTGGCCGAAGCATCTTTGCTCCAGCACTTTCTGTGTTTTAAACATAGAATTCAGGCCAAGAGCTGGCTAAAGAAAGGGAGCAGCAGCAGCATTTGGAACGGGTCTCTGTGCTCCACCGTTAGCGTTAGAAGGGTGAGCCTGTCCCCGGAGACACTTGCCATTCTGCGTGGCAGAGCAGATGTGGCACTTTACAGAACAAACATACGCTGCCAAGTTCACACTTTGTGCACGGACAAGGACTGAGAAGGAGCAGCAACTACTGGAAGGTGGAGAGGATGCAACACTTCAGGGAGCAACAGCCCACTACAGGTTACTCCTAACTGTCCCTCTGCACCATCAGATCACTGTCTATTTCCTGCACCAGTTCACGGACAGAAATTTGCCCAGTTCAGAGAGGAACATGATGTCCCACTTGGCGGCTTCCTGGCTCTGCCCTACCAGCTCAGCACAACTTGCACAGATCATGTCCCAAGTCTTGAGGCTATTGAGAAAGGAGCCCGCAAGCTCCTGGGAAGGGAGGAGCGTGCCAAGGCGGCCACTCTGCTCAGATGTGCAACCTGTAGAGAACATTTCCTTGCCTCTGCAAGACCAATATCCCTTCCCCAAAAGATGTGTGGGTTTGGATTACTTTTTGAGGACTTCACAGTAACCAAGCCCAGCGCAGAGCGAGATCTGAAGACCTCAAACCTGCCCAATGGCACCGAACCAAATGCTGGCTCAGCTTCCCATGGCTTACACCCTGCACCTCTGAGAACTGCAAGTGCTTTGTTCCCAAGCCCCGGCAGAGCTGAGCTCTTTAGTGGGCACTAAAGGAAAACCACTTGGTTTACAAAGACACTCACCTTGGTGCTAGCATAGCAAGGTGCTGGGATGTTTTGCAAACCTCATCACTACTGGGTGAGGGGGGAGAGCGTGAAATTAGACTTTGCAAAAAGTTCCTGTCTCATTCACTCCCAAGGAATCTTCTCTTTCGGTTCCTTGGAAGAACTACGTATAACACCCAGGCAGAAAACAGTGCCTTTAGCAATGCTGCAGCTCTCAGGGCCTGAATCAGGACCTCTCAAGCACATATGCTCTTCATTAATGCTAATCCAGGAGCAGAAATGATCCGAGAGCAAAACCTCCGAGAGGATTAAGGACACAGATACTGCCTCATCAAGCTGTGATGCAGGGAGGGATCCAACCTGAACGTCCTCCAAAACATGCAGTCAGATCTGGTTGCTCTGGTTTGGACCCAACTCTGGCAAGATGGAAAGCGGTTCAGCGAGATGTTGAAAGAGAGGAGCAGAAAGAAAGGAAAACAGTCCGCTCCCTCTTCCCCCCCCCAAAAAAAAGCAGCGTTTCACTTCTGGGGCTGTAAGTGTACACAATAAACTTGTCTCTCTTCCCTTGCTCCAGCTTACATTGTTCGCTTTCCTGCAAATTGTTTCCACATTCTGTATAAATAACCCCAGTGCCAACGAGGGGGAGGGGAAGAGCTCAGGGGCGCGCGGAGAAGGGGTGGGAGGAAATCAAATGGCTTTGTTAGTTTTGAAAAAGAAGGTGGAGGATGCCGAGAAGCAGTTTGGAGCTGGAACCTTGGCAGACCGAGCAGAGAGTTGCCATCGAGCTTGCGTTCAGACCTGGAGGAAGAAGAGTAAACAAGGGGGAGATTATATATAATTATAGACAATCATGTTGCTGGGGATAAACAGGAATCAAAAGCACGGAGGCACTGAAGTCTGGCACGTCCCCAAGCACAGAACAGAAGCCAGCCAGCGAGAGGCAATGCGGCTGGAAAGCACTTCCCTTTGGGCCTGTTTTCAGTTAGCTCAGGGGCTGCTTTTTTTTCCCCTCTCTTTTTGGCTTGAGGCATTCCCCCATAAAGAGAGGAGCCCATCCAATGGGAAACAGAAGCCAAACTGAAGTCAGCAGAATCCACGTCTGCGACATTAATAGATGACTCTGTGAGAAACGTCAGAAACATTTGGAAAAGATACAGCCCACTTAGGTCAGCAAAAACAACAACAACAGGAATTGCTGAACAAAAATGGCTTTAGAAACGCCTTCAAGCAGCCATGCCTGCACGTCCTGCGGGCAGATTCTCCTCGGCGGCGCGCAGAGGGTGAGCTGCAGCTAAGGGTGGCTCACAGCTCCCGTGGATCCAGGTTTGGGACACAAAAAGGTGTCGGGGCCCCTCGGCCGCCTCGCCTGCCCCCGGCGTGCGCGGCGCTGAGCCCGTCCGGGACAGCCGTGCGATTCGGCGTAGCCTTCTCCTCTATTTGCTGCAAATCAGAGGCGGCAGGATGAGCAGCCAGCCTGTGCCCGTGGGACAGCCCTGCGCTCCCTCCCGCCCGTCTCTGCATCTCCGGAGGGAATAAGCGGGAACCTGAGCGTGATGGGGCCCTCCCTCCGCCACCTGCCCGCCCGGCGGCGGGCGCCGGGGGGGCGCGGGATGCCCTTGCTTGCTCTGCCTCACTGCCGGAACCGTGCTCCCCACCCCGGCAGGGCGGCCGCAGCTTTGCTTCTGCAGAGCCTGGGAGAGGGAAGGAGGTAAAAAATAAAAACCAGACTCCGTAGGCAGCGGTGATGGCGTTGGCCATAGTCGAACGAGCGGGCTCCGGCGCTACACGTGCTGTAGCCGAGACGGGGGGTGCCGAGCTGCCTCTGCGCAGCCCTCCCCAATGCCCTGCAAAGGGGTAAAGGGGGGGACACATGGGGAAGAAACAAAGCCAAGGAGCACAACTAAAACAAACACAGATGGCCCATATGGGTTGTGTTCTTTTTTTTTTTTTTTTTTTTTTTTAAAAAAAAAAAAAAAAATAAAGGACTCGCGGCGGGATTTAAAAAAGAAAAAGAAAAGAAGCCTCGTTCATCCTTTTCCATTCCTTGAAGGCTCTGGAGAGTTAGAGGGAAAGCGACATCATCACAAACAAAGGACAGCCACCTCAGACGGTGACAGAAGGAGGATTGTTTAGCAAGGCAGTGTAAAAAGCTCTCTCCCAGGCACTATTTTAAATCCAAATAGCTCACAGCCTGCTGAATTCTTAAGCCATTTTCCCGATCTCTCAGCTGTTCTTCATCGAGAACGCAAGCAGATACTTCAAAGGAAAAAAGCAGAGAGGGGAAATAAATATATACAAGAAATAACCAAACCCCCGTTTAGAATCTGCGTAACAGCACAGGAGGCAGGGAACGCTCACAGGCTCTTCCACCTTCTCTCTTTCAGTACAGGTGCTCTCAATGTCCTTTCTCCTGAGGAAAGAAAATGGATTTTTAAAGGGAAATGACATTTAGTCTCTGAGAACAGCGTCACAGTTTGGTGACTGATATTACCTGGCTATCTAGGTATAGTATTTCGTGTATTCTCTGTGAATTCATCATTGTGGGCACTTTTCCTCCAGTGTTTCTTACACTGACAAATCCTTCACCAGCGGTGGGTACCTGTGTGTGTGCATATAGGCATGTGCATAAGTGCGAGATGTCTCTACTGGCCGTGCAGAAACTGTCTGAGGATCACAGACGAGGTCAGTCTAAGCATAAAACAGGAGTCGTGTCCGTCTCAAAACTGCTGGAAATAGGTCAGAAAGAGCAGAGGGAATGGGACTGGAAAAAAACACAGTAATGGGTTAAAAAAAGGCATTCGGGGCCCAAGTCTTATCTGCTATAAATTTACATTGACTCTGTGAGGTAATATTTAAGCAATCCACTCCCACGCCAAGTTACAGCAGCTACTTCCAAATATCCCAGACGTTAGTGTGCAGAACCAAGAATAAAAACAAGCTAACAGAACGATCTCAAAAAATAAGCTGACCGTGTCCTTTAAACATGTGCCCATATGCCACGCTGGACAGAAACAGTGTCAGAAGTTGAGCAATATGGTGAGAGGGTGCAAGGAAGCCAAACTGACAGATCTGGACAGATTATATCCGCTTTACTTTCTCTTTCATTTATACATGATCAAGAAGGGAGAAGGATACAGAGCACTTGTCCCGATGTTCTGTAAGAAATGAAATGAGGTTACTGGTCTCCTGCAAGCGGAGATGAACATCAATCACAAAACCCTCATAAAGGCATAAAACAGTCCCTCAGTGTTATTAGCAAGCAAGAATTAAAAGTTTATCAAGATGGAAAGAGCAGATCCTCAAGGGAGAATGGATTTCATAAGCAATCAGCAAATCCTTCTTCAGGCACCTCAGTGTGACTTGCAAGGCAGGGAGAAAATCAAAAGAGCTACTACCTAAAGAGAAACATACAGCGAGTGTTCCCAGCAGGCATCTTAGAAATAGCCCTCGGTGGGATAAAGTGTCAATCCCTTCTTGCCTCTTCCTGCTTTCCCGAAGCAAAGGGAAAAAAAGACAGGGGAAAGGAAAGAAAAAAAAGGGAAAAAAAAGGGTATGATGTTTGCATTACTGCTTATTTTTGCTTTGCAAAACACATTTGTATGTGCTGGAGGAAAGGTTTCCATCATCTTGTCACAAAATCTCTGCAGTTGGGTACGTTAGTTGGCCGTCTTGGCTTTAGGGCAGGAATATCAGACTGATGCAACGGTGAAGAGGTGCATCCCCAGAGCTCTCCAGGGACCCAGGGCTGGAACAGCAGCTGCTGAAGGTCGGCAGAGGCAAAACTCAACCTTGTTTCACTTCTGGTAATCCCATTTTGGATACTGGAAGTTGGCCATGGGGAATGAAAACATGACTGAAGCATTTCTTTGTTCCAAGTCTGCCTGGCTGCCGAAGCAATGCTTGGGAGCGCTGGCCTGCAAGTCCCACTTCTAGCAAATCCAACAACTGAAGGGATACAGAGTCTTGAGAATTTTTTTTCCCCCAGCTCCTTGCTGGTGGTGCTGGAAATCTTTGTGTTCCCAGCCCTAGAGACTATTACCATTTCCTAAAATGGCCAAGTGCGAAAGCAACGGCCCAGGAGCAGCTGAGAGGGGGAACTTCCCACAGGTGAGGGTTAAGACCTGTGAGACTTGGGGGGAAGAGCTGCACCCGTCATCAGCTACACCCTTAATCACCAGGGACCTCTCTCAACGTCGCCATCTCCCTGGTTAGAGGCTCAGGAGGTAGATGTATAAAAATGCCACCAAGAAAATGTGCTTCCCCCTTCGCTGTTCCTCACACCTCTGATGTTGCTGTCATCCCTCACGCACCCACTTTTGAAGTAAATGTTTCCACTGCTTAGGAAATAACTCACGCATCGATGGAGACGGATGAGAGCAGCCCGCCAGGCCAGAACTGCTGGGCACAGGCACCGTCCAATATGCTGCCTGGAGTGAATGTATCAGGGGGAACACAACAGTTTGTTTAATGAAAAAAAAAAAAAACCTGCTTCAAGCTTCTGAAGGGCTACTATAAGCTGTGGCACGATGAAACTCAAGACATAAGCCTCTTTATAGTTAATAATACATGTTATAGATTTTTTCCTGCAGAGAAACTTCAATGAACACCTTTTTTTGTTTAAATCTTTTGTTGCAAAAATTGATTATTCATTGAAAATCTAAACCCCAAAGATCTGACCAAGTGATTTTAAAGCAAGTTCAGATTTCTGCACCAAAGCAGACGTTTCCAAAAAGTCACAACCATTTTGCTGTATAGCGATTGTTAGCAGAAAAGCAACTCTGATGGGAAATTTTTAATTAGCCCATACAAATATGTATGCAAAAGTACATAACTGCATTTCAGAGGAAACTTTACCCCCTAAACCAAAAACGTATCTACAACAGAAGCTACAGAAAAGCAGCACCCAAAAGTATCCTGATCTTAGCATATAGTATAAGCAGATTAGCAAAGTCAATTTATCTCATCCTGCCGCAGCAGGCTTCCCAAACTGTGCAGAAAAAAGCCTCCTGCAACAACACACTTCAAGAGCTGGCACATCCAAGCCGTGTCTGCCGAAGAGGTACCATTCCCCAAGTTTACTATGAAATTGCTTTCTCAAAGACACGCCAGCTGATCTGACTCAAATGTGTATTTTTGTAACTGGTGCAACACGAAGGCATCATCATTTAAAATCACGTATTTGTACTTTTTTTAAAATATCAGGTCACCCCTGGCTATACCGCATGTCTGATTGGCTTTTATTCTCCAAATTGGAGGGGGGCTGGGAGGGGAGGTGAAGCAGCCATCAGAAGAAGGGGGTTGAGGCACACACGAGACAGAAGGAAGGCAAAGAGAAAGAAGGGAGATCAATTAACAGTCTGATCCCGGTCAGAAAACAAGTACAAATGCGGTTCCTAAAGTTAACACCGTTGGTTGCAGTGAGGAGCCTGGTCGATAGATGATAGCGATGGCGCGGGGAGGAACGCGCTGCGATGCGGCAGGAGCCCAGCGCCGGGTTCCAGCGGGCAGGGCGAGAGTCCCCAGATTACAATAAAGCAGCTTGAAGGTGACAGATTTCATTGTTGAAGGTGATAAAATTCCACGTGGCGCGCGGCAAAACAAGGGCTGGAGCTCAGCCCGCAGGAAGGGAGGCAGCGCCCCAGACGAGGCCGGGGGGGGGGTGGAGGGAGGGTGGGGGGGGAGGTTTCCCCTCCTCTCCTCGCCCTGGAAATCGGCAGAGAAGCGGTTGAGTGCCCGAGGTGGGTGACAGGTTTCCTCCCACCCGCCACGCAGCCGGCGGAGCTGCCGCTTGCGAACGGAACCTCGGTGTTCCCACCTGCGCGGTGGGAGGGCGAGGGTTGCTGCCGCAGCCCAGCACCTCCCGTGGGTGGGCACCGCAGCGCGTGACACGCGGCAGGGAAAAAGCAAGGGCCAAAGCAAGGGCCGTCGCCCGGAGAGACGGCCCCGCAGCAGGCAGGATCCTGCAGGATGTGTGCCAGCGTGAGCAAAAACGGTCACGGCACCTTCTCCCGTTCCTGCTTCGTTTAACTGGTCTCCCCCTCCGTTTCGGTGAGAAGATCTCTGACAAGAGTCACATCAGCACGGGCCCATCATGAGCAAGATGGTCCCAAACACTTCAGGCTTTATTTTCCAAAATAACCCCCTGACGCTGTTACACGGGCAAAACACCCATCCAGCAAAAGTCTGACCTTCGCTGCCTTTAACTCATGCCCACTTGGCTCCCAACACTTTGTGGAAGGGTTCGGTAAGGACAGGTATCGCCTCTTTTGTTCTCACAGAGGTTCAGCTTGGTCTGGATGCTGCCCTCAGTCAGGCTGCTTGAAATGCAGGAAAGACGCAGCAGCAGAGATGTGAAAGCAACAGGAAAATCAAAGCCTGAGACTAAACTAGCAATTAGACCAGCCTCGGAATATATTTAAGTCAAATCAATCCATACAAGAATTTCAGTCACGGTGCGCTTGTGCCCACACTTTTCCCTCCTTCCCTCCTTCCCTCCCTCCCTCTCCTGCAACCCAGGGCTGAGATCCAGCATTACTGTCTGCTTCATCAGAATATGCAAGAAGTGTAGTGACAACATGTCTCCTAAGATGCTTTATCAGTTTTGCAAAGTCCCAGTTCATCCGCCTCTTGTGGATCCATTTACATATTGATGTATTTATTCGACTCTCTCCACCAGGCATGCCCCATGAGATTAAACTACTTTATTTACAAAGACATTGGGGTTGCAGCTCCTTAACAATTAAGTCAGCCAAGAAACAACTTTGCATGTGCTTTCAGATTGACGTGTGAACAGACAAATCGGCCTCATCAGCGATTCAGGAGCAGCCGGGGGGGAGGACTGGTTAAACCCCATCTATATAAACCAGTCAATAGCTGCTGCAACTGGGAAAAATGAATTGGGGTGGTGGGAGGCACCAATATGCGGGAGGGAAAGATAATGAGCCAGCAGGAGTGATGGATAAAACCCGGAGGAAGAACTTTGCCAACAGAGCTCACCTTAAAAGGTTGGTGCTTCAGAACAGTTGGTGCTTCATGGGAACTTGCTCTCGGGAGTTGCCCCTGCTCCATCGCACCCATCAGAGACACCTGTTAAAAAAGAGCAAAGCTGTTCCTCACCGAGGGTTACACTGGGAGGAAAAGGAGGATGGGAGGAGAAGAGAGGAATACTTTCTGAGGTGAAAGTCAGCAAAAGGTCATTTAAGAGAGGCCAACTGCAGCCCTGCCGCTGACGTGATGCTCCAGGCAAGGTGCTAAAGCCCCTTCTGCAGAGAGCTTGTCCCTGGGCAGATCTCAGTGGAACCTCTCTCGGTCCTTCTTCTCTCCATTAGCATCCGATCAGCCCGCATCCGTCAACTCTCTCTTCCCCCGTGCCCTCTCCCTTCCCGCTCACACCCGGCGCCATCTCCGAGGAGGAGACATCGAGGTGACATTCACACACCGACGTCACCCGCAGCGCGCCAGGCTCTGGGTGGCAAGGGCAGGGGGGGACAACACATCATCACGGGGGGGAACGACGTAGCAGGGTTCTGCTTGTAGCCCTGCAGCTGCTGCCCTGGCCCGCTGTAGCCGTCCCACCCCACCCAAACGCTGGCGCCCGCGGGGAGCAGCGGTAGACACCGACCGGTCTGCGGATCTGCGGCACGGGTTCCTGTTGGTTTCTCTGCCTCCCAGCAGATGAAGGATGCCCACCAGCGCGCTTCAGGCTCCCTTCAACGCCGTAGCTGGAAAGTCACCTGCGTATTTAGAACCGTAGAAATCCGGCACGCTCTTGCCTCTTCCTGACAGCAACCTCACCCGGTGCCAGCATTCTTCGTAGCATCTCTGACATTTCAAAATTATATTTAGAGACCTGGATGGGAATTTAATTTTGAAGTTTGCTACTGAACACTGTTATATAAATATTCTGCACCACCTGCCGATGGGTCCATTGGTGCATAGCAAGCCTGTGCCATCGCCTTTAATTAAATGGGCAGAGGCAGCCCAAGGAAGGAGCACTAAATAGTAGTCTAACCATCTTAAAGTCGGCGCTGGTCTCCCTATTAATTTTCACCCTGATCTTTTGCATAGTGCTATCGCCAGGCTAATTAATCACAGGTGCAAGCTCAAGCATTAATTGCAACAATGAATCATTTTTTTCGTCTGCGCTTGGCCATTTCTAGCCTATAGGAATGCAGCTACTCCCGTTACTTTTATAATTATTATAAATATAAAGCCAGCAACATGCACTACATTTTGTAGGCATTAAAGAAGACATGGTATTTGGCCTGAAGCATTAACAATCTGGTGCATATTCAGGGGAGTGATGAATGCACCTCACTGACAGTCTGAAAATGTGTTTCCTGAATAATTTTAATCCAGGCAACTTTGTGAAGGTGTTGGGTAAAGCACAGGTTTTAGGAATCCAGCGTCTCCGGCTCTCCTGGTCAACATGCTTCAGCAGGTCTTGGCCACACACGGCTTGTCGGGACGTCCAAGGCGCACGGCAGTCTCCAGTTCACGCTGCCCAGCCTGCCTCTTCCCCACTGGAAAATTATACAAGACAGGACGGCTCTTGAGTGCAGATGGTTGGGGGGAAAAAGCTCTGTAACCTCTGTGCCTCCGGGCTCAGACTCGGCTTGAGGGACATCGACAGAAAGTCGTGGCGTCTGGACGAAAAGGGCTGTTGTGAGGCTTCGACGACCAGAGGCACGTGCTGGAGACCCCCCCCCCCCAGTGCAGCCGGAGCTCTCCGGGAGACACTCCTGGGTCTGACCCTGGTGCAGAGGCCGTGGGCTCCGGGGGCTGGCGGGACGGACGGTCCCTCCTCACGGCACGGGTCCCATCTCAGCGGGGCAGGCCGAGGGGCAGGCAGGAGCCGACGCTGCCGTAGCCTTTCCCAAGGGGAATTCGGAGCCATCCACCCCGGTGCTGGGCGAGCCGATACCTCCTCCTGGCACGGGCACAGGGATGGCAACACATCTCCACGGACTGCGCAAGGGATGAGAAAAACTGCTGGCCGTGCTGTTGGGAGAGATTAGATTATAAATGTATCAAATGACTAACGTGGGTCACGCGTCCTTCCCGGGCCAAACCGCCTGCATATACAACGCATGGCTATGATGTGGGGTTGACAGGTTCAGGCAAATGGTTCAGGACTAATTTTCAGTGTCGGACTGGCAGAATGCACTCCAGGCAAAGGCTTCTGATGCTGGGGGAGACAAAGCCAAAGCTACGAAAACAGAGCTTTTTAGGGAGAAAACAAAAGCTAAAATTTGAACAGCTATAAAAACACAGTTTGTCATCTAAACGACAGTAAACATTTCTTTGCTAGCACAGAGGCTGGGGAGAAGAAGAAGTGGCTGAAGGAGAGCTCAAGGTGAGCACCCGTTATTTACTGCTGCTGATGAATAAGCAAACCCCCACACTGTGTTTTCCTACAGGACAGCCAAAGCTCCGGACTGCTTAACAGTCTGGTTAGTTGTTATTTTTTCCCCTCCTGGGGTGCGTTTTACATGCTGTTCCAGTGAAACGCAGTACTGCTATTAATTGTTCGCAAACACATAAAACACATGGTATTCTCCTTCGCCAACACTGCAGGCTCAGCAGATCAAATGGGGGAGAGCTGGAAAAGTCACCTACCAAGATAGAGGTTGGGGGAATAATGCAAAAAAGATCCAAAAGGATTTGTGCATTGGTTTTTTGTTTGTTTTGGGGGGGGGTTTGTTTTTGTTTTTGTTTTTGTTTTTGTTTTTTTAAATATAATATACTTCTCTCTGCCTGTTTAAAAGCATAGGCTTGTTTGAACTTCCTAGGGAAGTCGGGAGCATTGAAGAGAAATTGGCAGACTACAATCTGGCCGCTTTTCCTTATTATGAGAAAATACACCCTCGTCTCCCTTGTCTAAGGGTATGAATTCTTCATCTCATATTGTGTTTGCACAGAAGCGTGAAATGTATCCTGAACATTGGTCTTCGTCCACACTTCACAATGCGAGAACAACGAGGGCAGTGAGACATGCAATGAGAACGGGGACGCCACAGAAGCGGGGGAGCGGGTGGCCGCTTCTGTCCCAGGGCCTGGACTCTGGCACTGCATTCACCATATCCTTCGTATTTAAAAGGAAAAAACGAGGCACGTATTTCCTCCGAAGTGCTTGGGGGCCCTGGTCTGTGAGCTGTCGTCCCTGTGGGAAGCTCCCGCCTCCCTTTCCATAAATGTTCCCCCTGCTGCCACTGAATCACCAAATAATCTGGAGACCCGTGGGAAGGGAATTAAATGGTGGTTATCATGCTGCCGTGTTCTGCTCACTTTATTTGTTTTAAATGACCATGAAAGCAAAGGGGGGAAAAAGAAAACACACAAGTGGAAACTTAATTGAGCTGCTGAAATGTCTTTAAAGGAGCATTATGGGCTGGATTATGATGCCTCAGCTCCCACTGGTGGCATTTGTTCACATGAGTGGGCATCTGATTAGGCAGTTCAGCCAGGTCCCTTTTCTAAATGATCTGTATCTCTCGCTGTGGATTTGAAGCTGAGGACAACCAAAGATACCCAGCTCTGGGGACCTGACAGTGCGTTTGAGAAGACTGCACGCTCCAAAAATGACCAGGATGGGACCAGGCTGTAGGCACCCGATATCACTGAGGGCTACAAGGATTTGTGTCCTTGTTTCATGGCAGGGTTTGCTACTCCAAGGAGAATAGCCAAGACCAAGAGGGCAGTTGGCCCAGCTGAGCTCTGGCACAAGGAGGGGAAAGCGGGACACCATCTGCCCTGGCTTCCTTCTCCCCCAGAAGCTCCACTTCTGGGCAGGAGGGAGGGGGAACCTGCTCTGCTCTCTTCACGGGCACCGAGGTGCAACGGCCCCTCAGGCACCAGGTGACAAAAAGAGCCGAAGCCACAAAGTGGCCTTGGTTAGATGCTGTCTTGGGGTAGAGGTATGGGAATTGCTCGAAGAGGGGGCGCAGAGCCCGAGGAGGATGCACGGGCAGAAGAGCACATCACAGAGCTGGGTAGCAGCCAGTCTGGGAGAGGAGAGCGACTGGAAGGACAAGAGTGCCACAGGAACAGGAGGGAACCTCCCATGGAGGTGGTCAGCAAAAAAAAAAAAGACCAAACTACAGGGAGAAGACTCTAGCAGAGTAGAGAGAGGAACTGCCCTGACTGATTGGCCGGAGCTTGAATCTAGGAGATAAGCAGCGAAGAAAACCCAAGATGTGGAAAGGCAGGTACCACAATTCAGCACAACCCAAGCCACCCACACCTGAGGGTGAAGTCAGGGCGGGACCGTGTGGGAAAAGGGGGCTCAAGAGATCCACTGTGGGAGCCCAGGGATCTGACAGGGAACTTGCTGGACCTGCTGGAGCAGCTGCACATGGGCTAATCTCCAAATAGAACAGAACTTGCCTCTGGCTTGCTACACCTGAATTTTATTATGAGTCCATATGAGTAAATAAAAATGTGCTCATCTCTATTCAATCTTCTGCTCGATCTTAAAATCCTCTAACCTGCAGAAAAGTGTATCAAAAACCCTTCAGGAAGGATCCCTGCACTTCTTTGCCTAAATTCTGAGTCCTGTGCAAATCCAGACAAAGGCATATAGGAGGAGGGAGAGCTGAGCTCCTCTGCCCTACCGTGTGTGTCCCTCTTACGCTGGCCAGGCAATGCACATGGTCCACAGCTCCTTTCTGACCTCTCTGTCAAATCTCCTCCCCGTGCAGTGGCCCTTCCCACCCCTGGGAAAGGATGCCATCCCTCACTGTCAGTTCCATGGATCCAAGAGCAGTTTTCAGGACACTCTGTCTCCCGCTCAGCTCCTCCTGCCCTTATCCTCCATGCCCTAGATGTTTTCTCAGGTGCCTTCCAACCACAGGAACACCCATGACTCTGGTGCTCTGAAATCCAGGCAGGTAGCAAGGGTGAGGTGGGGGTACACCTCCTACTTTGGCTGGGAAGATAATTAAAAGGGCAGTCAGGGGCGAGAGGGGGGATGGAGACCTTCCTCAGCACCTCCTGCTCCACTGGGTCTCACTAGGTCAGCACTTTCTGGGAACTGCTGTATTGCCAGATGTTGATTGGGCCTCTGACAGCGAGATGAATAAAGCCAATAAAGTCCTTATTTCTGGCTATAAAAATAATAATGGAAAGCAGAGAGAGATGGGGGGTAGGCTGCCCAAAGCTCTCCCAGGTTGCACTGAGCTGACTGTAGAAGGAGCTGCCTTCAGTTGCCCTTCCTTCCTATTTTCTCCTGACTGTATGCCATGAGCAATAGACCTGAAATTAAGCAGTTGGATAGTATTTGTGTACAGCCAGAAGTATTCCTCAGTTCTTGTCAAAAGGACTCTCTTTTATTTATTTTGCATGAACTTTTCCCGCTGGCAATGCCAGAGCTCCCCAGCCATAACCCTCCTTCAGAGTGCTGTGCTGAGCCAACCGCACCGTGAGTTCAGGACTCAAAACTCAGGGGTCTGCAAACGAGAGCAGCTCAGATGTCTCCCTGAAGGCCAGGTCACCTTCTTCTAATAACGACTATTCTGCCTCTAGCTCTGCAAGGCAGAGCTCCTGTTACCTTGTCAAAGCTGCCCTGCTTCCTTACCTCTCTCCCCAGAGGTACAAACATGCCCGTGCTTTCAGATCCTGCGTAGCTAAAGACCAAGTTCTGAATATCAACGATTTCCTTTGTGCTTGGCTGTACCAGCCTGGGGATATTTGGCTGGGGCACTCGGAGCAGTTCTGAGATTTTAAGACGCATTTCTGAAAAGAGATTTGCTACACAGTCGCTGTCAGAAGAGCTGCCTTTGCCACTACCTCCAACAGTGACAGCTCTCCTCCTTTGCAGAGGAAGCTCTGCAAAAGGTGCAGGTCCTACCTCACCAACGCCTCCCAAAGTCAGGTGATAGCTGCTCCGAGTCTAGATTCAGAAGGTGAAAGGGATATTTATAAACGATTCCCTGGGTTTGCAACCTTCATAAACTGGGATTTAAATGAGCTCCTGGGCTGCACCTGTTAGAGGCCATGCCCAAAACTTGAGGGAGGGCAAAGGTATTTCTCTGATATGTTGGTGCCCTCCCCGTTCACAGTGGTTACAGAGTCAGAAAGTCCCTTGGTTTCGGCGCCTGCCCGAGCACTGTGGCACAGGTCCCGCGCTGCCGTGCTGGCAACGCTGGCACCTACCTGCGGACACCTCCGCTCGCTCCGGATAAGCTTGGAGATCCAGCTCCCTCCATGGCAATCAGAGCAGCCCTGTTCCCCGCTGAGATCCGGGCTAGTAACTGAAAAGAAACATTCAGAAGGTTTTACGAGGCGGGCACCACCGCAAGGAGAATATCCAGCACGGCTGTCGCTTCCTCTCCACACGATGGCATGAAGCAAAGTTGCACCATTGTGGTGAGCTCCAACCGAGAAGCTAGCTCCTAGACATCTCGTAAAGCCAGGAACAAAAGTTCTTCCCAAACAATAACGCCTTCAGCCCAGAAACTGCTGCAATCTGCATGGGAAAACCTTCTGCTGGACCTCTGAAGGCCAAAGAGTTAATTGCTGATCTAAAAACCAGCAAGTTGCCTAGATACCACAGGGCACGATCTGGTTACACTTGTGCAAACAATCTGGCACCAGGAGTGACGCACACACCTATGCATTTAACACTTCTATCTTCTCAAGCCTCAACCTCAGTTGCCGGCATAATGGACTGGGAACATACATTTAAGGTGGAAAGCATTCCTGAAAACTGGCTATCCTTCAAAGGCACATTTACTGGATGTTCCAATAGCCACAATTCAATAAACGTAAAATATCTGGGCAAAAATATCTGGGATAATAGAAGAGTGAAACTCCCATTACTGTTTTATTCAATATTTTTATCAACGATCTAAATGACGCTATATAAATCCTTGTTGTGGTGAAGTTTGCAGATGCCAACGAGATTGGTGGTAGGCAAACAACAAGCAGGACTGGACTATCAATATACAGCAATCTGAAATAACTGAAAGTTGGCCACACTCCAGTGAAGCACGATTTAAAAAGTCAAAAGCAAGGTAAGAGATCTGAAACCAGAAATGCAGGTTACGCTTACAGGACGCTGCCTCGGAAAGGAGTTGTTTTGAAAAGGACTCGGAGGACATCACAGAGATCTGCCATAGCCCTAAAGCTGCCACATAGGGACTCCTCCGATCCCTCGGGGTTTAGAAGGGGCAATCGCAGACCCCAGCAGGGAGAGCTCTTTCTCATACGCAGCTCTGGCGACAATCTGCTGGAAATCCGTGCTCAAGCTATGTTCCATCCTTCATGGAGAAAGGGGAAATACAGAAACGATTCAGGCCAAGCCAAAACACAACCCTGGAGCTGGGAAACAGAAGCTGTCCAGCGCGCTTCTTGAAGATATGACTGAGACAGGATCTGATTACTGCTACGGGCACTAATACGGGGGAAGGCAATTGTGAGAGAATACCACGACGCCTCTTCCAAGACAACTGCAAAAGCTGAAAGTTAGAAATTTAACCTTTAAATTAAAACATAACAGAACCAGCAGCAAAGGCCATTCAGTTCTGGAAAAGCTGACCAGAGGACTAGGCAAAATTATGAGATTAGCTGTTTTTCAGAAGGCGCTCATTAACTCACCTTCTGGGAGAAATTATATAGGTGGTTAGACTAAACATGGCTGTCATAATCCCTAGATTTCTAGACTGGAGTCTAGTTCTTACACAAACTGCTTGGAGCAGGCATTTCTTTGTATTTGAAGGAATGGAGGAAGCACTGTGGAAAGGCTTGGGCAGCCTGAAAGACTCTTCCCAGCTGTGTCAAAGTCTACACTATGCTCGGGGGGATACTTCCACTGCTTAAGCTTTACATACTGTAAGTTATAGGACTGTCTCTTCCCAAATTAAGCAAACACAGATTCCCTCCTGCCGAGCTGAAAATCTCAGTATCAGTTTCTCCAGTTCTCACCAAATCCTCACCAGTCTGGCTCTGGAGAAAATGCATAAAGAACCCCTGTCTCCTCCTAGTTACAGCTGGGGAGCTGTAGAGATATCAGTGAGGTTTCAGGGTGTAACAGAGCAGAAACCAGCTCAGCATGCTCATCTTCTCAAGCTAAGTCTGTCCTTCTGTTTCGACAGATTAGCTCTTCGCCTGCATTTCCCCTTGCACAGGGATGCCAGCCTGGCCACAGCAACAGTGAGCAGCGAACAGCGGGAGGCCCCGCTTCATCCAACACCAACTCCCAGATCTCTAACAGTGGCGGCTTTTGTTCTCCTGGTTCCTGTCTGATCTCTCCAGCCCTGTCTTACAGCACTCTACATTCTTCCTTCAGGGCCCCCTCCGAAAGTAGCTCCATAAAATAGTATGCTACTTTTCTATTTCAAAACCAGACCTGGCATCTGAGCAAAAAATAAAAAGTGATCAATCAACACACTGACGCAGAAGGGTCTTTTTTCCATCTCTCCCTTGGTTTTGCAAGCTGAACTGTCAGAACTGAAAATTCATCCTCTGTCTGAATATGCAGGGAAGACACAGACTTGGGCAATGTGATACAAAGAGTGTATTTTCTAGATAAAAAAAAATGAATGCATTCCAAAGAATAAATGGATAAAGCTAATCTTACCTGTACATTTTCCTACCAAACTGAGGCTGGAAACTCATGTCAAAGCTAGTGGGTGAACTACACTTCTCACCACTCGCATGTGACACTGTGCCCCACACAGCACACCATCTCTTGGGTCCTAAATCCAAAATCATCCGTGGGAACCAGGCAACTTTTCCACTTGTAAACTGGGTCTTGGGTGGAGTACCAGATGGAAGTTTCTTTGGTGGATCCAAAGTCTGTCCAGACAGTGCCATTCTTTCCCCCGGGGGCAACAGCAATGCTAATCGCGAAAACGAGCAGCTTCCTGATTGCAAAGTATTGCTTCCCTGGAATAAAAACATTTCAGAGTGAATATGCTATAAAAACAATAAAATAGGCTGTGCATGTTCAGATTAACTTTCATTAGCCATTTCCGGGAACGAGAGGCCGGTTTGACCAGGTTCTTGCAGACTCTTCTACAGCTGTATCAGCATTTGTTTTATTTTGGAGCAGGGAGCAAGACAGCCCTTCTGAGGTGACTCTCCTGACCTTCCCCACTTACTGCCTTTAAGTCCACGCTGTGGAATCGGATTCCTTTCAGACAAAACTAATCAAAGAATCATAGAATGGTTTGGATTGGAAGGAACCTTAAATATCATCCAGTCCCACCCCCCTACCATGGGCAGGGCCCCCTTCCCCCAGCCCAGGGGGCTCCCAGCCCCATCCAACCTGGCCTTGAACCCTTCCAGGGAGGGGGCAGCCACAGCTGCTCTGGGCACCCCGGGCCAGCACCTCATCACCCTCACAGTAGAGTATTTCTTCTTTGTATCGAATCTAAATTTACCTTATTTCAGTTTAAACCCCCTTGTCCTACCTCCACACCCCCTGATCCAGAGTCCCTCCCCACCTTTCCTGTCCCCCCTTTAAGCCCTGGGAGGCCGCTCGAAGGTCCCCCCGGAGCCTTCTCTTCTCCAGGCTGAACCCCCCCAACTCTCTCAGCCCGGCCTCCCAGGGGAGCTGCTCCAGCCCCCCCAGCATCTCCGTGGCCTCCTCTGGCCCCGCTCGAGCAGCTCCGTGTCCTTCTGCTGTTGGGGGCCCCCGAGCTGGCCCCAGCACTGCAGGGGGGTCTCCCCCGAGCGGAGCAGAGGGGGAGAATCCCCTCCCTGGCCCTGCTGCCCCCCCTGCTCTGGCTGCAGCCCAGGGCACGGGTGGGTTCTGGGCTGTGAGCTCACGGTGCTGCCTCACGGGCAGTTTTCCCCCCACCAACCCCCCCAGCCCCTCTCCTTGGGGCTGCTCTCCAGCCACTCCTCGAGGGCCCAGCCTGGGTTTGTGCTGGGGATTGCCCCGACCCACGGGCAGGACCTTGCCCTTGGCCTTGTTGAACTCCAGGAGGTTTGCCCGGGCCCCCCTCTCCAGCCTGCCCAGGTCCCTCGGGATGCCATCCCTGCCCCCAGCGTGCCCCCCACCACACAGCTCGGTGCTGTCGGTGAACTTGTGTGGGTGCATCGATCCCACTGTCCGTGTCGCCGACAAAGATGTTGGACAAGTGGACTAAATGACAAAACAAGTTCCAAAACCCCACCTAGCTGCTATTGAAAGTTTCAAGTTATGGGGCCAGATCAGACCTACCCCAGGTAAATCCCCCCAAACACATATAGCAGACCAGCACCAATTGTTTCACTCCCCAGATCTGCTTCTACCACACCTGCTGCTTGCTAATGCAGGCATAACCACTAAGCAGCCTCTCTCTGCATCTGCTTATCTCCCTGCCAGACCTCACGATGTTTCCTGGACAGCCCTTTGCAGTACACAGCCCTTTTGCAAGAATTAGCTAAAATTTTCCCCATTCCACTCTGTTCTGGTTTAGCTAAACAAGATTTCCTTTAGCAGGAGATGGAAGGTGGTACGGCTTGGAGCTAGCAGCTTACCCTGTTGTCGTTTGAGTGGAGCCTCCAGAGGTCTTTTCCGTGAAAGCCTGGCTTGGCCCAGCAAACCTTAGGGCTTCTCTAACTCACTGGCAGGCTCTGAATTAAAAAAAGCTGGGGCTGAGGTTCACGTAGGGAGCCATGTGTTCTCATGCTGGAGGCACTGAAGTAAACAGAAGGTCAGGTAAAGAAATTCCCATAAAGCAATTACCAGGATCATTAAGGATTAATAATTATTTTTGCATCTGATAAGTTATCGTAGCATTAATTTTCTGCAAAAGTTTTTTTCTTAGCTGTTGTGTGCATGGCCAAATTCTTTGCAAGATCACCTCTGGTACGTTACCTGACATGCTCAGATGACAGCTTGTGTAAGACCTGCTCATTCAATAGTTATTTTCCAATTAGCATGTAGCTGTGGTGTGATGAGTAATCTTGTACGGAGAGAGCGAATCTTAATTTGCCTGCCCTTAAAACCGGTTTCTGTGATTTCTAATGAGTGTCAAACAATTGCGAATCCTAACCAACCAAAATAAAAGGTAACTGGCTAGTGTCAAGTCTAATTTTACTAAACAGTGGTATCATTAAATTCTCCTGCTATGGTTGATTCTGAATTGGCAGTAAGAGTGAGTTATATCTACTACACAGGGATTTAATATTTCTTCTTCAGTTCTATCTTCGATTTATTTAACAGATTTATTTTGTGATTCACATTTTAATTTTTCTGCCCTTCTGCTAATGATAGAAGATGTCTGAAGATTTGCAATTCAGCTTCTCAGCAGTGGAAAAATCAGGAACACAGCATCTGGGTATGCTGTCCATGTAACTGGACACCTTTAAACATCTATACTAATTCTGAAATATAGGTGTTCGCTACCCCAAAAGATTGCTCATGTTGCAGAAATCTCAATCTAAAAGCATCACTCTTCTCCCAGAAATGAATGCTGCCTCAGAAGCTGATTTAAATCAGGGACCAAAATAGAGGAAAAAACCACTCTCTGGTTATTTTCACTCTCCCCCTACTCAGAATCTCATGCGACAAATCAGCTGCTAGTTACAGTACATTTCCCAAAGATTGAACATTTTTTTTTTCCAAGAGTGGCAGAAAGAAGAGCGCGTGTAGCACTGTCTCTGGAGCAGCACAGTCATCACATCACTCTTACAAAATTGGTAGAAAAGCTGCCAGGGGAAGCATCGAGTGCTGCCTGCTGGACAGCTCAGCTGTCTCGCACCGATGGGAGCAGGCGGAAGCCGAGGAAGTGCCTTTCTTGCCTGGACTGGCAAGATGTTGCCCAGACGTTGTGTAATGAAGAATGTCTAAAACCAGAAACCCAAATGAGCACGAAGGCCGGGAGCTCAGATGATAGGTACGATATGGGTAGCATTTACACAGCTAAAAGTGGCTGGGATATGGCTACACTTCACCATTGCTGTGTGCAGTCATGGGGTGGGAGCTACAAGTGTAGTATCTGCTCCCAGTTAACTCCTTAGTGTGTGGACACACGAGAACAGGAATGTTTTGTTCTCATCCAGCTCCTCCTCCTTCCACTGCAGATAGTCAGGAACAGGGAAGTCCTTACTCAGAGACATAAATACAAGTTCTCTCAGACGTAATTGCTACATCAGGTACAAACTGAATATATACTTTATATATGATAATCAAACATGACCCCACCCCAGTACTTTCTATCAAACACCGCTGTGCAAATGTTTATGGTGAGAGTGTATTAGGGACTCGAAAAATTTAAAAATGAAGGAAAAATATTTCTCTGTCCTCCTGCTGGTGATTCCTCTCACCCCCATACCTCCGCCACACCTGAGGATATAAACCTCCCCCTCTCCACTGAAAAGATTCCAGGTTGTGCCTCTAGTTCTCTGCTAAAGGTTCTGTAACTGCCATGGAGCATCTTGGACCAGTCAAGATCAGATTGCAGTTCTGAGTCTCTTTACATAATTTAGCAAGATTATACTGCCAAAAAGCAGTTTCTATGCAAAGAAAGATCTGTAAGTCTTTTGCCTTACCCCTTTAGTTCTGTAACATCTGCAAATTTAATGATCCTACATGGTGCGGTGTTGTGTAAATCTTTAATAAAAAAATTAAAGAGCCCCAGCAGACGAGCTGCTCCTCAGTCACCTCCCTCCTCACTGACACTCACCCTTAGCTCCAAGCCATAACTCTGCCTTCTTGCCAGTATTTTACCCTTTTCAATAATAGATTATTTTAAACTACATTTAGGGAGTTTGTACCACAACCCATCACACAAAATTTTCTTAAAACCTTCTGGACAACCAGATAGATTCATGCCATCTAGACTGATAGTTATTTCATTAGCATAAGTGATCAAATTAGTCTGACATGATTTACCTGCAATATATCCATGCTGACTCACTCCTATTACAGTAAATTTATTTCTAAAAAAAAAAAAAAAAAAGCTGCAAACTAACTGTAAATGAAGATTTCATAAGAACAATTTTAATCTTGAATATTTGCCTCCTGTTGCTATTTCTGTTGCGGTGGAGTATACACATTTCTGCATCATTTTGGGAATGGGCCAGACTAAGAGAGAGCCAGAGAGCACAGGTACAAGTAGAGGCACAAAAGGATTATCTCTCCAGAGAGGGCTGCTACAGTCAGGGTCACTTGGCTCCTTTCACAGAGAGACACAGCACAGAGAATTAAGCCTGGAATGAGACACTCAAAATAGGATTTCATCTGATCTGATTTTCTGTGGATATTGGCTAAGAGAGAGTATGGAGCAGGAACAACGGTAAGGTCTGCCTTGGTAGCTTCCAATCACAGACAGCATCATCACCTTCTACATCTTATAAAACTATTTCAAACAAACAAACATACAACAAACCTAATAAAAGCTATTCCATGGCTAAACTACCCTCGCTACAGGAAGAATTTCCTGACATCTTTCCCACTGGAAATGGATTCCCCATTCCTAAATCCTTCCCACTGCAATCCAGGTCCATTATTTCTTGTCCTATCCCCGGCTGGCAGGAGAGTCAGGTCCAATTAATCTGTTTTGGGAGACCAGGCAGAAAGACCTGTTGTTCTTCCCTTGGGGCAACTGAGAGTTTTCTCTTAAACGGAAATCTCCATCTCCCTTGCTCCACTGTCTGGTCGGGACCTGTAGACGAGCTGGACATTACAAACATGTTGAGAGATCTTTCTCCAGTGAACCAGGGCTTTGGGTGAATTTGCTAGTTTGGGTTTTTTGGTAGGAAAGATTTCCTTGTAAGAACTGAGCTGAGGCCCAGGGAACTAAAGTCCACTGATATATTCAGTCAAAACATCCTTTCTCTTCTTTTTCTTGACCGTTCTGCCCCAGCCCATGGCTGTCAGCCACCTGCCTCCTCCAGGTACCTCCTCACCCAAGCTGAAGAGCTCAGGAGGCCTCCTCAATTTTTCTGGGTGTACAAAATTGCTTCTTAAGAGTTTCTTCACCCACCGTGATGGCTTGTAGATAACGATGTCCTTCCCTATGGGGTCTGCCCACATCTGAATACAGGTGTCAAACTCCTTGACTCCCTTTGACTTCTTGAGAAGAGCAGCCACAGCCTGCAAGGGTTGCGGCTGACACAGTGCACAGGTGCAGCTCCGAGGGCCTGGGGTATAATTCCAGCTCTGCTACTGTCCTCTTGTGCCACCTTTAGGCAGGTCACCTTCCTCTCGGAACTGGCTTCCCCTCCCATCTCGAGTCTGACTTGTACACTTAAATCCTGAACTCTTCAGGGAAGACACCAACTCCTGTCTTTCCCAGGGTCCATTGCAAATGATGCCTAAATCCCCTTCCCAACTCTTTTTTGTTAAAGGAGAGAACAAATTTTCATTTTGCTGGTGGCTATACATTCAGTAGAGATTTTTCACACAGGATTTAAAGACTGCAGAGATGATGACTTGGGAATTTACCACACAATGCCTGTAAGTTAATTTTTGTCTAAGGAAGCATTCTCGTATAGAAGAATGTTTACGAAGGTTCACTCCACAGCCAGGCTATTGGGTAATCTGTCTGTTACCAACCGATTCATTAAATTACATTTTTAATTTCAACTGTGTTCTTCAACACAGTGAAGCTACATGCAACATCCTGCTGAGGGCAAAGTGAGTCAAGTAGTTATTAAATGGTCACAGTTAAAAGGAAGAACAAAGGTCCAGTCATTAAAGCATGCATGGAAAACCAAGCCTTTTCCACTGTACAGTAATCCTCTGTCAGGCTTCCCCACTGGTTAGCATGGTAAAAGAATATAGCCAGAGATTGTATTTTTTTCCTCCTACATATGCTCTCATTTAGTTTCTTGGGGAAAACACTTTTCCAGCTCTTAGGGGTTTGCCTGTTGTGTTTAAGAAGAAATCAAGTTAACCAAGACAGTCACCAAGGTGTTTCAAGACTGCTATGTTGGATTGGTTAATCAAGGGGACGCGACGCATCCTTGGGGGAGAACAGGTACCAGTGAGGCTTCATCTCTAACCAGCCAGTGGCCTCGATTCAGCAAAATTCTCAAGTGTGTAACTAAAGCTGAAGCGCATCCTTAAGTGTCACTGACTTCAAAAGGTTTTAAGCACTTACTTAAAATTAAGCGGAGGCTTTGATAATTTCAGACCTCAGTCAAATCTAAGGGCCTCTAGGAAATAAGGAGATATTGCCTATGTTCAAGGTATGTCTCCAAGCACAGGATACACATGCCACTCCATGTAAACCCCTTAATTAACACATAATCTGTAGACTACCAGGAAATCTTACTCTCTTCTTGATCAGCACCATCAAAGTCATGACAGTGCTGCAGAAACCATTTTCTTTTAATTACATGTGATCATTGAAGCCAACCACATACTGTATAATTAGTAAGAAAAATGAATTATGTAAGTAACTTGCATTTAACAAATAGTACTGGCATTCTGATTGCAATTCAGTGTTCAGACACCATAAAAAGATGTTCTTCTTATGCAGGAAAACCGATTTTCCTGTTTCTAAGATCTTGCAGATTTGAGAATTTTTCCAGGGTTTTCAAACAAAAAGTCCTATGTCCTTATATAGAATTGAGGGTCAGGAGCGACAAGGTAGCTTATCAGGCAGACTGATCTCTGGAGCAGGTTCCTAGCTGGATTAAGCACAGCTTTGCACCGCTGTGAATGGAGGAAAACAAACAATAAATAAT